CACTGATGCGCTACATTTTTCCTAAATCTGGCACCATGAATACACCTACAGTCAGACTTGAACTTACTAAGATTATTGTAGACTTGTACTGTGATACTACTCATGGTTCTGATGATGGTTCACTGTGTAAAATCCAAGAAAATAGGTTAGAGAACAGGGAAATTATAGATATAACAGTCCCAATTGCAAGGTTATGCCATTTTGGAGATCTCTGGTAGTTCCAAGCAAGATGATACAGTGCTACAGCACAATATGAAGAAGTATTAACTCAGCCCCGGGAGCAGTTTTGTCCACTTAATCTGTCTTAATTACTGGTTCTAATAAATGCCAACAAAATAGTGCCATTTGGCATGGCTATGGTGCTTTTTGGCAAGCCTGGAGAGCTCTGCTTTGCCCTCAGCGGGTGAATTCTCATACTTAGGAAGCTCAGCCCCTCGGGATGTACAGAGTGTGCCTGCTGTTACCAACATCCTTCTTTGTTATGGTGAATAGAGAACGTTCCTAAGTCCCCTCTTCCTCTAATCACAGCAACACGCTATCTTATCTGCCAAAGGAAGGCTTAACTCCAACTGTAATCTCCTTGACTTTGCCTTTACAGATTCTCTGAGTTGCCATAGAGGACTCTTAATTCCTCAGGTGTCTGAAAAGATAAACATGGAATACATTTGTTGAAAAGTGCCAATGCAGAAATGAGACTGACTAAAATAAAAAGGTTTTATATTTTGATAGTAATGACATCCTGCATTCTTGTGGATGCTGCCTTCTTGTCCTTTACAAAACCTCAGTCTCACCTTCCCTCACCTCTGTAGCCTCCCTCTAAAGCAAGACTATATTCCATTTTAAGGGGAACTTCGTAAATTGTAAATCTGGAGTGAAAATAGACTTGAAATCTGTCTCCAAATGGCATGACCTTTCTCTGGGGAGCATTAGCCTTTTTGGCTTTTTTTCTATGCTGTCTCTGTGCTTAGCATCAACTCCTGGACCTGCCTCTTCTCTTTCAAATCACTTTTATCAGTTTCTGTCATGGAGGAAGCTTCTGTCAGAGAAACAGGAAAGTAGTATCTTCTTAAGCACTGAAGACAATAGCAAACTTGAAAAGCAATCCTACATTAAATGCATAAAATGGTGAAATGATTATCTCCCCCTATTTTTATAAGGCCTTTAGAATCTTAGCTCTGCAGGACAGAGACTGTCTGTTGCTGTTATTTACACAGCAGCCAACTAATTTCTCGCCTAATTCTGGTCTTGACTTCTGGCCACTACCAAAATGAGATTATCATAATAACAGCAATTAGGATGTTCTCTTCCTAAAAGACTGGATAGTTTCAGACATTTGATCTGACCTATTCAAAAGTTAGAGATCTGGAAGATCAGAAAAAAGAAGCTTCTTAGGACAAAAAAATTAAAAAAATGTACTTTGTAATTGCATGTCTAATTTCAGCTTATTACTCTCTTATCTTTTAACCTTTGCATCTTCATACTTGTAAAGGAAAATATTTCCTACCATATGAAGTGAGTAACAAACCATATGCACTACTGGTGAAACTCCCACTCTGCTTTCATTTTTTTGCACCATAAATATGGAATAATTGGGGGATCAGAGAGTACAAAAATATTACCATCCTATAAGATCACGTATTTGTGTAAACTAAATGCCAAACAACAGTCTATAATATATCATGCAAACCACTGATGCTTCATGGACAGCCTGCAAAGAAGAAAAACATCCCAAAGAGACCAAATCTAATGAAGACAATTCTCAAAGAGAAACATATGGTACCTTTTTCATGCAAAATCTACACATAAAAATAATCCATTAGAAAAAATATAACTGGTGCAAACTCAACTTGTTACAAGTTTGCATAAAAATTTTGTTAAAAGATAAACATTTTAATTAACTTAAATTGGAAGAAAATCTAGAATGAAATTATGAACTTAATACCAGATTTTAGTACAGTTTTGTTTCCAAGGCATGTCAGCTTGGCACAGTGTAGCCCTGATCTTGGCAGCTGTGCAGACCTGAACTGTGCTTTGGGATGTCCTTTCCTCCCTCACCAAAAACCCGAGCTGTTCCCCCAATGCCAATTCAGTGCCTTGGTACTTTCAGAGACATGGCTTTGCTCTTCTCTAGCCAAAGGCAGCTGCTCTCCCCTCTGACTTCTCCATGCCACAGCAGCAGCCTCCTTGCTGGAGTGTCCTCCAAGGACCAAGGGAGAGGAGAAGGCAGAGGGTGTGTGGTGCCAGCTGGTGCTGCTCGAAGGGCTGCTGGGTTGTTCTGCAAGAGGGAGTGGGCAGGGGGCACTGCTGGAGAGCAGGAGATCTGCAGTGCACACACCCCTGAGCAGATCCAGGAGGGATTCACCTTTCAGGGAGAGGAGAGAGCCTGAACAGCCATTCTGAACTGCATTCAGGAAAAAGGGAAAAAGAATGGAAAGTGTATGATCCAGTGTTTGCCTATTCTTCCTATTTCCTGAATTTAAGCTGACGGGTGTGGCTGGATATATTTGTGAATACAAAAGGTGGGTAAAACCAGAAACAGGATCTCAGATGAGCTGATTTAATCTTTTTTATCACATGAACAATCCTTTCGCAAACAATGCTGGGCCAGCTCATTGCTTCTTGATTGGATTCAGAAAGGAATCAACTTGGTAACACAAAAGATGCTGCTTCAGGAGATTAATACTAAATTAGAGTAGGGAAAGATTGCAATCACAGCCCTGGACACTAGGTATGAACAGATGGTAGCCTATGTTAATAACTTGGAAGGCAAGAGTGGCATAGCAGAATGCAATGCATTTTAATGAACTCCATTAAAACCATGAGGACCAACTGTGAACATACTCAAGAGCTTGCTTCTAATCTTATAGAATTTAAAGAAAAAGATATTGACATCAACAACCGAGTTAAACCTTGTTTACAGAATACCTACTGAAAGAATTAATAATTCAAATCCCAGCAAAGCTGGGTACCAGTATAGATATATAGGTATAGATCAGTATACTGATCTATATTTTTTGACTAGATTTATTGAGTTTCCTGTTTAGGAATGAAATCAAAGAAGGTGAAATTATGTATATTTATAATAATTTATACTAATTTCAAAATAATACCTTACACTAATTTCATTTTCCTTTAATTATTATTTATGCACAGGAACCATTTCACTAATGATTCTGGGAGCAGTTTAGAATTCCTAATGCCAACAATGGCATTTACTCTCCTCAGAAAGTCAGTATCCACAGCAACACAGAAATGAGACCACATTCAGGAACTGGTCTGGAACATAAAAAGTCAAATGCCTTCTACATCTCTCTCTACAGAGTAAGGTTTAATATTAACATTAATATTTATTTTACAATCCTGATTCAGTCCAAACATCCACACTTTATATACTGTATAATTAACTCTTTCTTATGAGCTTCTTGTTCTATTCTTTACAACCAAGAAATAAGCCACGACTTGATCTGAAGCTGCCTTTTGAGTGATCAGTGTGCTCTAATGAACAAATAGAGTGATGTTTTGTGGATTATTTCATTGCAGTGAAGAATATTTATGGTTCAATGGCTAAAGCAGTACTAGCTCTGGGTGCTCAGATGGATGAATGTCCATGTGCAGAGTATAATTATATCCTCAAAGGTCATGAAGTCATGGCAATTAGTGACTATTAGAAATCCTCAGTAATCTGTGCTATCTGTAAGGGAATCACAACACTGAGTTACTGAACAGCAATTTTCTGATAGCTGTTCCTGACTGACAGCCTCCCCAGACAGAAGATTCCCTGATGGAACCAGGAATATGCTTTAATCTAAAACAGTGGCTTTCACTTGGTCTTCACATTTCTCAGGTTTTGGAAGCTTTCACCTTCACTGATCACTCTTAAAGGATGATCTCCTGCCTGACATCCGTTCTGAAACTTGCACTTCTGATTCACTCTGACATGACTACAGAACTGCACTTTGAAACAATAGTTTGAACATCTCCCACTCACATCTAAGATGTCTCATGTCTTCTGTTGTTTTTGTACATATTTTAATTACCTTCCTTCCTTTCTCCTCTGCTATGCTTAGTATGGAAGTTCCACATTCAAATAACACAATTAACAAAATAAAGTAACACAACAGCAGATGAACAAAACAGTTGTTCCATCAATAGCCATTCTAGCCACTAATCTTTTCATGAAAATCTGCCATGTCATCTAAGCACTACTGCACTGATATTATTGCATTAGACATTCTGGAGAGAATAATATAGAAGTGTTTCTTCAAATATTTGGGGTTTTAAATTATTTTATGCCTGTTGAATTACACTGTATTTAAAATCCAATCTCATATGTTTCTTCTCACCCTTTTTAGACTTGCTCTGTAGTCAGTAGCACAGTAGCAGACTTGCCTAAAGACAATGCCAGTTTCATGTGGGTATTTTTACTTGGTTTGCTGCAATAACTATATTTTATTGTGTGTTTGAAGCCATTAGTTGGACACAACCTGCTATATAGCAAAACCCCATGTATTTTAACAATGGTTAACCACAATATCTTAAGAGATAAAATGAAACTGCCTTTGGTTCTGCTGGAACTAGAATGAATACATCCTGCCTTTTGAACACAAAAAGATTTAATTATAAGTGTGTGCATCCTCCATAATTTCATTCTGCAAATGTTCCTTATGGGCAAGTTAGCAATTTTCAGCTAGTGAGAAAAATTGAAGTGTCTACACTGCTCTCTAGCAAGCACATGAGTGTTTCTTTGGACACTGAAGGTTTTTACCAGATCTAAGAAGCAGCATTTCAAGTCACAATTCTTTTGTGTTCTTTCACACATAACTTCATAGATTCACAGGACAATGATTTGATTCCTTATAACCCTTCTTTTTCACTAACTTATGAAGCATATTAAACAAGTACACCAGAATCACACACTGAAATCTGATACCAGGTATCACTAGCTGTGAAAATCAGTCTTGCTGAACTAACTAGTGCAATTAATAGTTTGTTGTAATTACCTTCCAGAGCATATTTCATGTCCTGGGCAAACAGAGTCCACATGATTTCAGCACTGATTTTTCCCATGTTCAGCTCTTGAGGGAACCTGCAATCAATCACGTTACATCAGTTCACCTGCTGCTAGGAATGAGGCTTACAGCTGCATTACAAAAAGACAAATATCTCCATAAAATAATTCCCCTAGTATTCACACTTACCATACTTTATGTTTTGTAACAATTATACAAACCATCCAACCTTCAAATAAAAACATTCCTCACATGACATTTTAAATCAAGAAACATTCATCTCTCTTGCAGATGATTCCTCAACTTTAGATAAACTTAGGAAGAACACAAAACAGTTGGCTCAGATGTTTAGCCACAGGTTTTCCTCAATTCCCTTCTGACACTGGAAAAGAGTGAAGCTGTCTGTGAACCTATATTGGTTTATATACTTGTAGAATCCAACTCACTGAAGACTTCCACCTTGACGTATGGATAAAATAATAAAGAAAATAACAAGTGGTGAAATGCAGATTTTGATTCAAAATTTTAGTTTTGGTCTCATGCTGCATGTCATCTTTGAGAAGTCCTTTTTAGATACTTTCTGCTGTTATCAGTTAGGTATTTTTACACAAATTTTTCATAGATCTCAGCTGCTTCTTATTCAATGCAAAAGAAAGGCATTAATATTTGAGTTACTATTTTCACTGCTAGAAACTAGCAAAAGTTGGCATTTTAACGATCAACACTACGGTTTTGTCACATTTTTTGTCTTAAAAAAAGTCCTATCTTTAATGTAGGTGTGGAACTGACATTAATATAAGCCATTCTCAGGACACAAAGGCAGAGCCAGGCAGGTCAGGCAGATGAAGAGCAGAAAGTAGAACACAGAATCTCCCAGTGGGGTAAAGGAGTTGTTTATAGCACAGGGGTGCAGTGAGAGTCACAGTAATATACCCACAGTTCACCAGGAATACATAAAATAAGGGAATATATTAATAAGGAAATACACAGAGCTCTGCAGCTTTTGTGTTGAGGTTATTACACTTTATACTAGCAGAGAATTGGATCCAAAGTATTTTGACCTTTTAGTAAAGCAAATTCAGAAAATATTCTGTATTAATTTCTGTAAAAAATGTAAGAATTTTTAAAGGTCTTGTTGACATATAAAAAATTAGAATTATGTGCAACTTAAAAGTGGTAGCAGTATGATCTAAGTAATGTATTCATTTTTGAGACCTATTTGACCCTGATCATATCTGCAAAGAAAAAGTACTTAAACAGCTCATTAGCTCTGCCACTTTAATAAGAAGCAGTTGCTAGCTCAGTTCACTGAGCCCTCTTTATGCTAATGACTGTTCAGTTAAAGAATTTTGTATTAATTCTATTAACACAAAATCAGTTTCTGTTCAAAAGCTGAAATGTATTCCAGCTGTCTTAATTTCTTTACCTCCAATCCACTCTGAGTTCTCTCTTGGCACCAGACTTGAACTTTGACAGTCTTGCACTGAGGAAGTATTTAACAGTTGATTGAATATTGACACTGTCTTTTGAGCATACTGCAAGGCTGGCCATGAGGCAAGGCTGGGTCTGATAAAAATGCACTCGTTTGATTAGTGATAAATAGATCTGTCTATGCATTTTAACTTGTGAAAGCAAATGCACACACAAACTGCAATTATCAATGTTGAATAAATTACTTCAACACATCCTACATGGCCTCAGTTAGGTGAAGTCTAAAATTGTGACAGTGTTTATACTTCTAACACATTGGTGGGCATTGCACAGCTGCCAGTCACAGGCATGAGGGAACTACCAGAGGTATCCTTGCAGTTTACTGTATGTGAGAAGCTGACAAAGGCAATGCTCAAGCACACAATACATTCCACATGCTAAAGATAAATGGTAACAGAAGCACCTGAATTATTAAAGGGAAGGGATAATAAAAGGTCAAATACTAAAGCATCTATGTATATATGGCATTTTGTATTATTTGTATTTTATCACCTTATTTTCAGGTAAGAAAACTTTTTCAAAGTACTTCCAATTTTTATCCCTAAGGAGAAAAAATATCAGAGAAATTTCTCATGCAAATCTCTACATTACATTTTCTAATCTTTGTAAAAGCCATGTATTTTCACATTTCTCAGTGAAGCAAAAGGACAACCAGCATAGTGCTCTGTCAAACATTTAGCTGACTCTTGCTAGTTATTTCTGCTCCATAGGCCATAATTCTCCTAATTTCGATGTCATTGTTGGAACTATATAAAATCTCAGTTTATCCAGAAGAGTTATGTTGCCCATACATTACCATATCTACATATTTTCAAAAATACTAAATTGCATATACAAGACAGCCACTTATATCTTCTCTCTATTGATTTTAATTAAGCAAAAATATAGTGGCAACAATTTTCATTGGCTAGTTCTAATGAAGGGCAATACATAAAACCACAGATCAATAGAATGAAATTGAACTCAGCTTAAAACAAAATGAAAAGAGTCAATGTATGAGAAAAACATATATAATCCCCAAAGCATTTATCCCAGACAGTACTGCATGTCTCTAGTTCAACCCTAAAGTTAAAAAATTCTATAATGACAATTAAAAATGATTTTTCTGATTTTGTGCTGCCAAATCACCAGTCTGCTGCATCTTGAGATTACCAAAGTCTCTGAACCTCAGATGCACTTTCTCAGAATAGCTCATTTTCCATACTTGGCTACAGTCTCATCCAGGTGCTAAATCTCACTGTCCTAGGGGGTGAACGCATTCAGTTTTGTGCTGTGCATGCAGAAAGAGGACAGATCACACCATCTGTGGAGTGCTGGCCATGGCCTCTGTTTCACTAACTCTTAAGACAAAAGTTCTATATGATTTTGGAAAATATGTTTTCTATTTAGACTGGGAGCAAAGAGCTCATCTATTCTTACATTTTGTGCTCTATCCTCCATCTAGCCTAAGCTTGATTTTTAACACTCCTTTCTCTGAAGAAAAAATAATGGGCAAGACAGATGCTGTGTCCATATAACTACTCTGGTCTGTCAGTGACACAGTTACATGAGAAGCTATAGTGGGTATGGTGAAAGAATGGGAACAGCTTTGTTCACAGGATAATGTTCACAAATTCAATGAAAGAAGTGATATTCATATAAGCATAGGAATATCACATGATAAAGTATTTCACAGAATAAAGTATAATTGGTAATGAGGAATATCACTGCATCAAGATGCAAAACACATCAGATACACTTTCTAGAATGAAAGAAATATTCTAAAGTTGGCCTGATGCAGTCCAATTCATGATAGAGTATACTCTGATATTTTCACTTCCTTCCATAATTTTCTTCCACTGACCTATGTTTCATAACTTCCTGACATGTATGTTATAATTCTGCTGTTTCTACAATATAAGTTCCTATTCCAAACTCTTCAGAGGTATTAAACATCTAGCTCCTGAAGCATGAGGAAATCTGTTCCTGCAGATTTCATTTGTTAGTCCTTTCCATACTGCATGGAGCACAATGTGATCACAGAGAAAGCAGATCCTAACATTGCAAAGATCTGAGGATCAGTAAAGAAAAAATTTACAAGTCCTATTAGAGCTGTCATATTTCTTAATTTTACAGTGACAACTTGACTGCTCTATGTGCAAAAAAAAGAAAATTGCATAGGCCCAAAGCTTACATCTTGCTTTCAAATTACAGAAGCATATTTGACTTGAAGATTTTGTCCTTGATTTGATGTTCCTTTTATTAGAATAGATATTTTATTTTGATAGGAATTTCTTCTGTCTCAAAGGATATTTGGAAGCACCAGGAAGCCCTAGATTTGCCTGTGAATCAGGTTTCTAACACATTTTACATCGTTTGACTACTAGAATGAGGATTTCACAACTTAAATACCAGACCATGTGTTTTCCTCAAACTTGTCAAGTTTCTCCTGTCATGTAAGAACTGCAGGTTGCCCCCACATCCCACTGGTATGCTCTGTCAGTGGCTGCAGTGCTTGCTGAGGCCATCATGTCATGTTTCATCTGGATTCATAACCTGATACAGTTCAAATACTCCACTGCAGTGTAATTTTTGCCTCCAAGGTAGATATAAAAATAGGGTTTCCAAAACTAACTGAGGAGTAGAATTCTGAGCAATATTATACAACTGTGAAAACTTTTATCAGAATGCTCTCCTGGGGATCTTCAGTTACCTCATTTCTAAAATAGGATTCAAATGGACGCAGGCCTGGCTACTCGACTGAGACACTGCATGGCCATATATTTCTAATAAGAAGTCATATTTTTGCAGTATTCCTGTGTATCCAATTTATATGTCCCATTCATCTATTTTAATCCATTTTCTTTTTTGAGGTAAGCAGGGAGGGAGAGGCCATCTTACTTTTTCTCAACTGTTTTTACATGCTGCTTTTGTGTTAGGAGAAGCTTTTCTTTTTAAAAAAATATATCCAAAGCAACTCTGAAAAGTTCTTCACCTTTTTTCCACCTAGAGCCTCTTCATCTTTTGCTTCTGATGTCTTCAACTTCTAAAAGACATGATATTCCCTGTGTTCACCCTTCCACTTACAAATTAACAGTAAAAAAAAGAGAGAGAAGTCAGAGACACAAGCTCTCTCCCTTAATCTGTCCCAATTCCGTCCACTCCTGATTCTGTTTTCACATCTTACACAATCATTCATCTGTACTTTAGGGAACCTACTAATCCCCTTAGAAGAACTCTGTTTATGCCTTTACTTTCTCCCTCACATTTGTATAGAAATACAGCTAGAACAATTTTTAGGATAATTAACTCGCAATTACACTTGCTTAATTTAAATGAAGACTGAAATGAATCACCTTTATGTATTTGTCTCAATTATGTATCTTACAATTACTGTATTATTTATACAGCATGTCAGACAAAAGGTTGAACTTTCATTAATGGAGAAAGTCAACACTATGACACAAAAATGGAGTAAACAGGAAAAGTGTTTTCTTTCCTCTTATATGGTAAGAACTTATTCCTTAATAAGGTCAGTGCAACAGATAATTGAACAAAGAAATGCTTAGTATCCAGGACTGAAATTATACTTTATTTATTTCAAGTAAAGGAAGGAATCAGAAGTCAATGAAATACCTTTCAGCTTCTGTTTATCACCAGGGGGTTTCTTTGTCACTTTTACTGTGGGGCCATAAATAGAATGGTACCCTTTATAAACAGACAAGCACGTCTCAATGTACAGAGTGCCTTCTAGTATCTACCCTATTTTGGCTGAAAAGAACAGATTGTTCCTGCTCCCCTTCAGAGCATTCAATTAATTGCAATTGCAGAAACCTCTATTAGTTGTTTAGTCGTAATACAAATGTCGGTTTCAATGTTAACTTTTGCATAAGTCATCACAGCCAGACTGTGCTCAGATTTTCTGCAATCTCTCTGTAAAATGGCTCCAAAGAGCTAAAAAGTTCCCCCAGCGTCTCATCAGGTCACATTTCAATTGGTGCAAGGCCTGTTTCTCCAGCTGTAATATGTAAAATTCATTCCTTTGCACTTTTTCTATATATTTCATGTTCAAACCCCAGCACTGCCTTCTTTTCCTGTGCTTATCAATTGTTTCTCTCCTTTCTACTCAAGTATGAACCTTAAGTTATTTGACTTGTCTTGGTTATTGATTGTACCTCCCTTATGGGCCACATCTTCAATTCTGAGATGTCAGCTTCCATCTCTGGGATACTGCCCTCCACTTCATACACTTTCAAGTCAGTCTGGTCAGCCAATTATAAATTCAGATAGGGTGTTTTCGTGAAGTTCATTTTTTCTTTTTTTACAATTACATGGCTAAAAATCATACCTAAATGAGCTTCAGCATGATTTGAGCACCATGTGTGCCATGATACTCCCATACCATCAGTATCATCACAAAATTCCCTTCACTGAAATGTCACTGACATTTCCCTTCTATCCATTTATCTCTCATGTAGAATATTTTGCTATTAACGTTTTGAGATGACTCATATACCACCTGTCCTTAATGTTCCTAAACCAAAAGATTTTCTTTCCATTATCAGAGAACTAAGTTTTTATCAAACTATGTTTTTATCAAACTATGCATCCTGTATAAAAATCTCTACCTAGATTCTGTTTAAAATATAACTTCTGATTCAGGTGTATTTCTTATCCTTATTTTAATAAATCCATGATTCTTAATTTTTATGCATAAAGTAATTACTTACTGGTTCAAGATTGGGGTATATGCTGTTTTATCTTCATCTATAATGGTGACCATCAGAGTAATCAGCTGTGCCCAGAAATCCAAATTCTTTGTTGTTGGTCCCTGTTCTTCTTTAGGAACTTCTTGTTTCCTACTCTGTTAAAACAAGATTGAATATATTTTTATTAGAGAAAATACTACGGGAGTTCCACCTATAGATTATTCCTTAGTTGGGAAGAGTGACATATTAAGAATTTTTAGAAATTTTGGACCAAGACTGGCTAACCAACAGAGTAGAATGTATGAAAAACTGTACTTGGCTGTGCACAAATATAAAGAACCATAGTGCAAAGACGGTCATGTCAGCAAAGGAGATCAGCAAAGGTTTTTAGTGCATGCTCACACTGTAATTAGATACATTATTCAATTTGCTGTGCTGAGACTCAGCACAGGTAGAATTGCCTGTTGAGGCTGAACTTTTATACCCAACACAATAAAGACTGAAAAAAATCAATGCTGAGGAGTGTTTAATGTTTTGGTTTGAATTATATGTTGAAGCTTTTCGGCCTAACAGCTGCTAATGATGTACAGTCTAAATGAAGAAGCAGTTCAATTTCCCTTTATTTTATTGAGAATTTCATATACTTTCATCTCACTAAAATATGCATTTACAGATAGACTTTGTTTCGACAATTTTTATTTATTAACTCTTAGCCTACAATTTGCTAGGCAAAAATATTTTGCATTCCTTTGCTTGGCAGAAGGAACAGATTCCTTATCAATGTCCAATAAATAACTCCATTCTAGGGACCCAAATATGAAAAGATATATTTTTAATTCTGTATGAACATATACATAAATAATTTCTGCCACACAGAGCTATGTCTGTACATGCTAGAGCTACACATGCTCTTCTACACTGCTGTGTGAGATTGAAAGGGGTCTCAGCTAGTAAGTCAGAAAATAAACTTGCCTATATAGGATCCTGCAAGTTTAAACACATATTCTCTGTACTTCTTATTCCTAGTCCAACTATGACCACTTCAATGGACCTGATATCTTTCTGAATATACCTAACACCATATTAGTGTCACAGTGAATTAATTAAATGTTAATTTAACCCCAATTAACTTTTATCTATGAATAGCATTTAGAATGGCAGAAAGGGAATTTAAACATCTATTTAAAACTGTTTTTGTGGCCACTGTGGAATATTTTAGACAAGTATCATTAATCACACTGCTGCACACTCAGTTGAACTACAAAGGGTACCACCTCAGTGTCTAAAGCAACAGAAATAAAGCTCAAAAGCAGTTCAGAGGATGGTGGGTCTGGTGTCACCAACAATTAACAACTGTGCATGCAAATGAGAGAGCTTTTCAAAACAGAAATGAACATTAGAGTATTAATGTCACTCATAAGGGCGCTGGTATACATTATATTTTTATTAAAAAGGCATTGCTTCTATTTAAAAGATGTATGTCTAATAGAACATTTTTTTTCCTCAGAGGCTTGTTAAATCAAACCAGCTGAAAGGCAGCTGTAGAAGACAAAGCTACCTCATATGTAGCTCAGCATCTTATCCAAAAACTGTATTTCACAGCCAGTGACATGCGGCTGAGACAGCTTTCCATGGCTGTGAATGTGAATGCAAAATTCTGTGCATTAACAGATAGCAAAAAGTAACTGATTTACAAAGTAGTAGCTGCACAGAAGTCCATTCTACAAAAATTCTCAGGAAAAGAAATCTCTTTAAAATCTGTATGACCTTTTCAAAAGTCCCAGAGAAGGTATTTTTAAAATAGCCTTACATTACAGATGTAGTTTTATGTCCCGAACAGAAAGTGCATACTCTGCCCATCTGTAGTTGTTATTTCCATTTTTTATCCTAAAATCTACCTAGTGTGTTAGAAATGCTCAGAATCATTCAACCTCTTTTTACCTTATTATTGCCAGCACTATTATTTGCTTTATGTACAACAGATGCCTTTGTAGAAGCATTACAGAATTATGGAATACTCTGAGCTGGAAGGGGCCCACAAGGACCAGAGTGCAGCTCTTGGATTCCTGCACAGGGCAATGCCCAAGACCACACTGTGTGTTTGACCCCAGCTCTGGCAGGCTTGGTGCAGTGCTGTTATAATGAGGTAAAACAGTGATGGAAAACTGATTTCAATTTAGATTTTTTTTCCCACTCTCATTATACCCATTTGAAAGAAACTGTCAGTGTAAAAGCATGAAATAAATACCTGATACACGTAATTAGTGCCACACTGGAACAAATACAGTGAGAAGATATAGGAGACCCTAAATAGTGCTTATTATTGTAGAGGATAATAACAATGAGATTTTATTTTTTTTAAAATACAACTGAAAAGTTCAAGAGGAACATAAAATCTTAAAATAGCAAGATGACAAAATCTTTAATTAAACTGATGCTATTATTGGTTCTTAATTTTAAAATAAATGAGTTTCTGAACTTTCATATCTTCTGTTTTTGTTTGATACAGCACTGAACAAGCTCAAACCACAGACTGCTCTTCCAGTAACCAAGAGACCTTTCCAAATAGTGATATGAATGAAAGTTTTCCAATTAGCAGAATCACTTCATTTTCCATGAGCTTTTTCACAGAGGTAAGATTATTTAAAATATCTTGACCTCCTGTAACATCACTTTGGATGGTGATGCTGCTCACATGCATAGAACTGTGAAATGCCATAAGATGTCCTGTACTTAAAAGCTCAATAAGTGCCTGGCCAAAGGCACAACAATGATATTCCTTAGGGGCTTCTGATGGCAGATCAAACAAGCAATAAGAGCAGATGATATCTCACCAGCATGACAGGGTTTTATACCCTCATATTAATTGACTTGGGTACTTCTTGTCTTTAGGATCACCCCAGAGTGGTAGCAAACACCTAATAAGAAAAGTGTCTTTAAAGAGAAATCATATTGTTCACTTAAGATTCACAAATATAGTAAGTACTAAAGATTCTCTGTGGGTTTTTTTAATGCAACATCCAAACCAGCTGATAACTCTTTGTTTTTTGCCACAGAAGACATCAAAATCAGAAAGAGAAAGTGTGTAAGAGCAATTTTTCATAGACTATGAATCAAAGAAAATTATTTGCACCGAATCATGTTTTTCTCAATTCCCCTTTACTATCAATTTCCTAGTCAACTGAATTCATTTGCAAGCACTGAATCATGCAGCACAGAGCCTCCAAAATCATTACTGGTGTTTTGATACTCTCATAAAGAGAAGAATAAAATGTAGAGGGAGTTTTCTGAGTTTAAGGGAAATAAAAAAGGCTAAACTGTTGACAAACAAACATTTTGTACTCCAGAAAACGGGCTGAGACTGGAGAAAGCAATCTCAGACCCACTGTGAAGCAAGATTAAAATCTACATCTCTATTACCCTGAGAGAAATCTGTAAAGCCTGGTCTGAGAAACAGAGGGCTTTCAACTTCTCCCATCACTGATTTTACCAGATTGTAGTATTAATGTCTGGTTTAATTTTATTTGTTTTTATTTTGTTATGTTCTGTGCAATCAATACCATTATTATAATCTGTGTGACTTTGATAAATTGAATCCTATGATATCAGAAAGTTTTATATTGTTGTCTGCTGCAAGCCCCAAGCTAGGTTTCAGAATACAGTATTTTCTACACAGATAATGATACAGTGGAAACTCACGGGAAACCAACACAGTAGCCTTGATCAACACAAGGCCACAGAGGGCAATTTTATAGACCAGTTTTAGATAATTAAATATTAATTTTAACAATTCTTCCATATTTTAAAGTGCATATTTATTACTTATATTACATATAAGACTACTTAATTTAGAATCACCAGCAAATATATAATATGCACAATATATACAGTATACACATATGTAGACATTCACATATTACACCTACCTATTTTTAGAATTTTATGTAATTTTTAGTGATATTTTTTTATATCTAAAAGAATGAAAATTTGGCCTTACTCAACAGAGTAATTTGAATTTACTCATCTGAGCCTAAAGCCAGAAATCACTTGCAGCCATGCATTCAAAACCTGTGAGAGATTTCCCTGTGCGGTGGTGTTGCACAGTAAGTAACTCCTAAACTGTTAACTTATCTGAAACTGAAACCCTATTTGAAGAACCATCACTGAATCACAGAATGGTTTGGTTGGAAGTGATGTCAAAGATCATCTTTTTCATTCCTCCTGCTGTGGGCAGGACACCTTTCACCAGACCACGTTGCTCAGAGTCCCATTCAAACTGGCCTTGAATATTTCCAGAGATGGGGCACCCACACCTTTTCCAGGCAACTTCATGTATTCTCCAGTACCAACTGAAGTGGAACAGAATTCTTTGGAATTAATTCTCATCTAGAATTGATGTGCATGTGAAAGGAGCTGGTTTAACTGGTCTGTCTGTTTAGGGCAGTGTAACGTGTAGCTCCTCTGCAGTGGCCATCCAAGATCTGTGGTTTTTGATCTGACCCACCCACCCAGATATGTTCTGCTTCTGCAGGGAATAGGTGGAGGAAGACCAAAGTGAGCCCCTCACTTATTGCAAGCTCTTTGACTTTCTAACCAGTGTTCTCAGACAAGCTGCTAAGAAGAAATTATATCTGTAAGACCTGGTCTTCTTCTGACAGAGAATTCTCAGAATGGGGTTGGAAATACCATAGCACAAAATGCATCCTTCTGTTCTGAAGTAATTTACCAAATGTTTTTCTGTTACTGTGGCTAACATGCTGCCCATCAAACAAAATGCTGCAACACAAGGAGAGACCTCCAAGTACCCTCTGCATGCCAGATTTGAAGAATTCAGAGTCTTTTCAGTGAATCTAAAGCAATATGTAAATATAACAAAGGGTCTCCCAAGAATTATTACCTGACACTGAAATTTGCACACCTGAAAAATAGGACTCTGTAGTAAACAGTTTTTGCTACTACACTTTATTTCCCACTTCATACTTCTGAATGTGTTTGAAAAGCACAGATCACAGTCACGCTTCAATTCTTGCAGTATTCCCATAACAAAAATTTTTTTTGTCATTTATGCTAAAGAGAAAAAAAGTATACCTTAAAAAACAACTATGAGGCTTGGATTCCCAAATTCCAAATGCAAAAGTGACCAGGGACCCACAAGTGAGTAAAGCAAAACTGAGCCAGCCCTCAAAGCATCCATGTGCTCATGCACAGCTCCAATTCCCAGAGCTGGGATGTGTTTAGCTCCTTATCAACCCAGCCCAAGGTGCTGTACCCCTGTGAGAGATAAAGGGCAAGGGCAGAGTAGTGAGCTGCTGCAGCTGTACCACCCCTGGCTCCTGAACGAGTCAATTGCTTTTTGCTACCTCCTGCCTGCACTAAGCTGTGCTGTGACAGCATAGAGAGCTGAGCAAAGCCTCAAGTAAAGGCCCCGAACATCTGGTAGAAAATCAGACCTGTTCTGATGAGCCAGTGTCAAATATAAAGCACTCCAGTGTTTTATTCCAGTATATTGGTGCTATTGATCATGAAATTATTTGTACTGATCAAGAGCTCTTCAGATAACATGAAGGATATGGTCTACATTTCATTGGTGTCACTCAGTGGAGAAGACTGCAAAAAGAATTATCGAAGAGACTTCAGTCACTGTGAGCACTAGCCAGGATTTCAAAATTTGTTTTGTCAAGAAAACAGAAAGAGTGACATATCAGTTAATTGAGTCAGAAAGCTATCAAAGTGCTTCCTAAACTACTTCTCCAGGATGTTTTTTTTAACATACGGCAGCTAAGCACTTCACTCAGATAACTATTAATTAAAAAGAGAAAATATTGCATGTGCTGGGCAAGGAGCTAGACAGTTCTTCATCAGAGGCCTTTGTCTCCAATAATGAGGACAGCAATATACATGTCAGTAAGACTGTCAAGCTATCATGTTTTACTCTCTGTGGTAGTCATTGTTTTTTTGCCATCAGCTGTTCTTTGTATTCTGCTGTGGAACTGTAGTATGACATTTTTGCATACTGTTAGCATTTGCAATGCTTCACCCCAGGAAATATCCTCAGGGGTGATATTTTGCTGCAAGACAGCTTTTTAACGGTGATTGCCTGCCTGACACAAAGGTAGGGAGTAATAAAAAGAGAAACTGGAGACTGCTGAGCATATTTTGTGATTTACTTTTTTTGTTTATAGTGGCAAATATCCAAAAACTCCAGTTCAAGCCCCTCAATTTTAACAGTCATTGCTCTATTTTCACCCCAAAATTAAACAATCCCACACATCAGACCTGAAGCATATTTTCTCCAAATACCGTGGCAGACATCTCTGAGAATTTCAGGCTGCAGCCAGAAGCGGCTGCAGAAGGTGGTTACCCTGCGTTACACACAGATACACTCTGAGCCTGCAGGAGCCTCAGCAGGACATCTGCCAGTCCTTCCCCTGAGTGAGAGCAGGTGCTGACCTACATAAGAACCATTTCTTGCTGCTTTGGGACTCATCAATCTCAGTTCTCAGTGCTCAGAGCTCAGCTGTGCAGCTAAAACAAGAACCTCCAGTGCTGCAGAACCACACCAGGATGAGCTCCCTCCCTCTGAGGGAAGGGGACATCACCTGATGGGAGGAGAGCAGAGATAAGGGAATGGGTACTGAGGAAGGCTTAAGGGTGGAATCTGGTCTAATCTAAGTGACTTGGACAAAAAGCTAATGAAATGTTAATTACAATACTGGTTAGCGCTTCATTATTATAACAGTGAATATTGCTATAACAGTGACAAGCCAGTCACCTGGATTCGCTGGAAAGCCTCCAGAGCTATAGGTTCAAACAAGCTGCATACTCAAGTGCTCCTAAAACCAAATGGACTTTTGGATATACTGATAGGAAAACATAAGAGGATAATGCTGAACAAAGTAACCTTGTACAACTCAAGAACTGATACAGAATTCAGGTAGTCTTTTGAATTAACTTTACTCATCTCTCTATTAAAGCTAGACCAGTTTTATTTCTCAGAATTGTCTCCCACCTTCTGGGAAAGAAGGTTTTACTGTCTGGCATTAAGATTATATGTGATTGTTGCTTCAATTTTTTTTTTTTTTTTAATGTGATTTGCTGTTAGAAATAAATTATTCTTAATACAATCTATTTATTTTAAATGTTGTGGTTTATACTTCACTGAAGTTTCTTGCACTGCTTGGTGATTGTAACTGTACAGACAATTGTCTGCTTAAAAAAACTGCCACTGCTGGAAATCTTGCAAAAGAGAACTCAAGAGGTGCAGAAATACAATGAAATGCAGTTAACTCAGTTTTCCAACTGCGTGAATACTTGTGGATTTTTTTTTTTTTTTTTAATTTCAGGACTTCTTATTTCTCCACCATTAAGCAGAGTTGTGTGGGAGAAAAGTATAATAACAACACTGCCTGTTCTGCTTCAAATATAATTTGGAGAGAACCCTTGCTTAAGGAGGTTTTACATTCTCTACTAATCAGAAAAGCCGTAAAATCCCTGCACTTCAAAACCATATTTTAAAATAGACAGGCCAAATGACTGTATGGATTCACATAAAAAAGTTGTAAATTTTTTGAATACAGATAAGCTTTTGCAGTCGTCAATGCTTTGCAGAGGTAAGACTTCTTCACTTTTAGCTGTTCACTGAGGACTAGAATCTATTGATAAACTGCAGACTTATGCAATACCCAGTCTAGCAGCACTTCATATTATATGTACAGACAAGATCAAATTGCTTCAGAGTAAACATTAGCAAGAAAACAGAACAGTTTATGACGTAAATAGATGTGATGCCCGAAGCTGCTCCTTCCACTAATTTATATTCCTACTCAACTCACAATATAATCTGTTGTAGGATAAACACACATCAGCACTAAGTGTGGAGTGCTTATTGGTGTTGGTGAGAACTTCTTACATCCAAAGCTACAGTTAGGTTTTCCCACATAACAGGAATACAACATGAGAAAACAAATTCTCATTTCAGAAATGCTGAATAGTCACCTTTCCTAAAACACAGGAACTCATATTCTGGATTTAAGAGAAATATCTTTCCCTTAAATAAATACAAAATTCAAATAAATTTAATTTGAAGTCTTATATTATTAGTATGAGTGTTCTTATTAATTATACACACACACGCAAAAAAAAAAAAGTGCATTTGCCAAAGAACGCAGTTAATTCCATTCAAGGCTGGAATAGTCACAGAACTACCATTTTATCACTGTACTATCCAAAATGCAAATACAAGGCACAGGTGGCAATATGATAAAGAAGTGATGCTCCTTTAAGACAGTAATTAATTCTAACATTACTTACAGAATGACCATATTATATTAAAAAATAAAGAGTATTCTCAAGGATTTTGCATGACACTTGGAAAACAACAAAGGCTAAAATTATCTTACATTGACAGTTCAACCTGATAGACTAATATTAAGAAATCCTCTGCTTTCTTAAAGCAGTTACTAAAGCCTGGATCCAAGTATGCATCATACGTACTAAACTGTAAGGCCGGAAAAACGATATAATTTTCAGCAAATTAAATTGTTTTCTAAAGCTACAGAAGTGAAATGTTAAAATTTTAAATAACTATTTTCCTATTAAAAATCTTAAATGAACAGTAATCAATCAAATGTCATCTTCCCCAAAACCACTGGACAATTTCACAGTCATGTCAAACTTGATGACTACATTATGAGGTAATGTGTCCATTTTGAAACTCATGCTAAACATTTTAGAGTTAAATGATGTCTTATGGGAGTATTTATGGTATGTTGCTCCTCCATGCATAAATAAAGTGAAAATCTGAGTGCTTTGATATGAAGGAGCACCAGAAAACTTTCTGTTTACTAAAGGCAAACTAACAACCATGATTGAGCAATAGCACAGAAAAAGTTCATTTTGACCTTACCTGATCCACTAATTGGGAGTACAGATCATAGCAATTGTCAAAAATGTATTTATAAGTTGAATCCAGGCATGCTTTTACACAGTCCTTCACCACAGTACTGGCTCGAGGGGGGCTCTGCAATTCCAGGACCTAATTAAATATTTCATAAGTGGGAGAATGTCAGAACTAGATTGCACACAAAAAATCCAAGTGTTGATTGGAGTTCTGTTATACATGATAAAAATAATTAAAATTGTGCATTTATAGAGGTGGATTTAGTTCTAAGATACACTAAAACACATGCAAGTAGATTTTATCACTAAGTTTTATTTAAATTAAAATATTTGTAAGATGAAAGAGGCATGTGTGCCCAAGAGTTTACATCTTTGCATCTTAGGGTTTTCATTTTATCAGTTTTTTATTATTTAGGAAACAATTAAACCATATAATATATGTTTTCCTTTGAATAAGAATATGAGCCAAATAGCATTTATTTAAAGCAAAGGGTTCATTTTTTTACTCCATTTCAAGATACATTAATTCAAACTTTAACTTAATGGATTATTTTAATTCTCTTTATGTAGTTGCCTAATGCAATGGAATCACATGCTATTATGACAAAGTTTGCTTTGTGTTTATTTTTTCATTCAGTAATATTAATGTGTATCATTCCATTCCAAAACTATTTCCGTGCTTGACCACTTAGATCTCAATCTCTGGAGAGACTAAAGTGAATAATTATCAGATCCGTTTTGCTGTTTGACTTGTGATTTCATTGTTATCAGTAGAAAACCATTATTCTGTGTGACTCCAAAGGAGTTCAGCTAAGTGTGCTTTCTCTGACTTCACTTTAAACTAATTAAAAAGATAATTTTTTTTCTTCTGTAAGGAAATTTATTTGTGCAAGTAAAGGACAATACCTTCATCCGAAAAAAAGTAATGCTGGTAAGCAGGTCCACAGTTGATTTCAGATCCTGGAGTCTTTCGGAATTGCTGGCAGGAAAATTATCCTGGTGAATCAGGGAAAGAGGAATCAAGCAAAATTTGAGTTACAGGTAAAATCCTTGAACAACTAGTTAGAAACCCCCAAAGAAAACAAAGTGCTGCTTGGAAGGATTAGAGATGTACTCAAATTCTGCCCGTGAGGCAGTTAATGATGAGCACCCCTTGGACATGAGTAGGAACACCTTTGATAATGCTCCTACACTTGTAATATGAATAATACAAAATATTAGGATATTTCCAAAACATGAATGGAGTAAAAAATGTTACAAGAAGACTGAGAACTGTTGCTAATGAAAATAATTTATGGGTTTTACATGGCACATACATCATTTGTAGGCATAAAAGCAGTAGTAAGCTTAATGTAGAAACAACAGAATCAATTTTTGTTACAATCTCTGGGTTAACAGAGTGATGTAAAGTAGTGTTATTTACGTAACTTCCTACTAATGAAATATCAGCCTCATGCTACGATACTATCTGGATGGCATTCTTCAAAATGAAAAGCTCTTAGCATGAATGTATCTCCTTCATGAATGATATGGTCTTAAAAATTAAGTAAGTGCAACTTCTGGTCCCTCTAATGCCTTGGGGTTCTTTAAAATATTCCCTTTCTCCTCCAGTTTTGGAGAGCAGGCCACATGAACAGACAAATCCTTGACTTGGAGGGTGGCGCTCCAAGAAGCTGAAAGGAGAGCCACAGGTGATGAAGCTCTAACTTAGGTATTGTCCACAAGTTTCATGATCCAGTGGATTGGAGAAGGAGAGGGAGTTCAGAACCAAATGGTAACTGGCAGGTACCCAGTGTCTGCTTTCCTGAAAGGCTGGCTTTGGAGCACAACTCAGTGGAAGGAGATTCTATGAGGCAGAAATGAAATTAAATCCTACCACACAGGAAAACAAAGAGACAAGACTCTTTCAACATTACCAGGATCTTAGCATGCAAATTGTAGCAAAGATGTCAGGCTCCCAGAAAAAAAATCAAGGAGTAACTTCCTGTTGCACTGCCAGAGTCAGTGAAGATAATTCCCAGATGAATTAACTTAAGAATAGTTATAGATCAATTTAATAAAATTTGATTAATATCACAATATACAAGAAAGGGTTGAATACTCTTGAATATGTGATAATCCTGTGACCCATTCTTAGCTTTTGGAAAGAAACTACTGAGTATTTTTTCTTTTCATCAAATTGGAAAAACAATTGTGTTAAACAGCTTAAATTCTGTAAATTTTTGTTCCAGAGGTTTCGGGGGAGGGGGTCTCATGTTGACTCAAATAGAGTATGTTATACATACCCTGTATTTAGATAAATCAATCCTCAGGGAATTGTGCAATTGATCCAGCAGCCTTATGAACTTTTCTCTCTGTAAAAAGAAAACAAGAAAATGTTGCACTAAAATTTGCAGGTTCCTGTAGTTGCTGGGGTTTTAGAAAGCTTCTTTCCATTCTTAACTTATTTGAAAATCAATTTGTTTTCCATTATTTCATGTACAAGTGAAGGTTTGAAACACCTGCATTTCAAGGCCAGGCAATGCATCTTCTTTCACTTTTTCTCCCCTTTCTATCCATGTTGTATACCTGGTATGCATTCAACACTGTGCAGCTGTGCAGCATGTTAGGGAGGTCACAAAGATTTTGCAACGCAACATTTTCCAGTCTTGTATTTGCCTTGCGACTAATTAAACTCTGGAAGAAAGCACCTCCCCCTTCCTTTAATAAGTAAGAAATTATGCTCATTTACAACAGAATTTGGTGCAAAAGTATGATTGAAAATTATACTTCTGAAACAGTGGCTTTTGTAGGAATAAGTTAAAGCAATACAAATATAATGAAATTATATTATTTCCTTTCAAATGTGAAGATAAACTCGTTATCTTGATAGATGAAAGAGCAGTGAAAGTATTTTGCTATGAGATTTCCAGCTGAGTTGTGCCATTCTCAAGTAACACTAATGAGTTTCTAATTACCATGTTAGAAAATATTCCATAGTCTACTGCACAAAACTGTGAAATCTCAGCCTACGTGAAAGAAGCAGACTTCTGGAAGAAGCAGGAGCTGATAGCTCTCAGGGTGCACTGATTGTATCTGAACCATCCCTCAAACACGATGATCAGGAATTTGAAAATAGAGTCTTTGTGCACTGTCTCTCATCAGTGCAGTTCTAACCTACACCAAACCCCACTAATTTGGCACGGTTCCCTTAAGGGATGAATCAAAAGAGAATTTTTTTGTCATGTTATAAAGCTCTACTTAAATATTCAGTCAGCCAAATCATTCCCAGCTGTAGCCTGAGGACTTGAATTTGAGATGTTCTTTTTGATGAATGATGTGCAGCTATTCACTAACAAATGCCTTTTGACCCAGGAGAGAAGAATAATCTAATATTTTCCCTATAAGTCAATTGTTTGAAAAAAGAGCTCCAAATCTCTTTTAGTTATGCCTACTACTCTTTTTCCATCCATCTGTTGAACTATGAATTGGATTCAAATTGCGTCAAAGGCAAACTGGCATTAACATCAGAGAAAGGACTTAATCTCTGCCCTGTCTGATGACAAAAGTAGTTCTGATCATTAGAAAAATGGGAAAAAAGGATAAAAATCCAGCAAAACCATTCTACATTTCAAAAGTTGCATCAAAGTCAAATGTCTAATAAAGCTTGAACATTGAAAGAGAAGACTTATTCACACAAAGAGTAATTCTTGGTTTATGCATCCAAATGCATAATTTCATAATTTTATCCTGAAAATCTGAAATTCATAATTTCTCTATTTCTCTAATACTGGAGAAAAGTACTAGTGCCTCTAATATGACTTTAAATAAAATTTTGAATTTGAAATATTAATGTGAATTTGATAAATGTTAATTATGAATAATATTTTATTTCATGTCAATAAATGGTATTTTATACAAGTGCTACATTAAATGTACCTTTGATATCAGCCCTACAAATAAAAGCCTTACTAAAAAAAGGAAAAAGAGGAAAAAATAAAAGCATTTTTCAGCATAAGATTGTGTTTATACCCTCTGTATCATGTGTAATACCAGAGCTATGGAGGCAACCTCTTTGAATTATTGCTCTGCCTTACTGCTCTCAATTCCTCTGAAGGTGAAGAATAAGGGTCTTTATTTATTTATTATCATGTTCAAAGACTAGGAAGTCCACCCTGTGAGATACTTATCCACAGAAGAAAATTTGGCAATAACAAAGGTAGTATTACCACATCCTGAATTGCTATTATTCCTCCTAAAATTCCTGATACCTAAATCCAGTATTTGGACAATTCACCAGCAAAAAATTCACCAGCAAAAATAAGAGAGTCCATTATTATGCATCCTTGTGAGAAGAGCAGCATTTATGGCCACATCTATTAGGTTAATATGAGTTCACTGATGACACAGCCCAAGAAAGGAATTGCATCCAATACTTAGTCTAATGCAGTTAGCAGTTTGCAAGGCCCACTGCAATAAAACAAAAATCTGTCAGAGATTTTAGTACCATGAATGTGTGCCAGTGCTTTCTACCCTCTACACCTCACAAGGAGCTAAGCAACATCTTCTCTGGCTTTTATGATGATTGACTTTAAAGACTCAGGGTAGAATTTTCAAGAGCTAACAACAACCCTTACTCTTTAAAATGAGCAATTAAAATAAAAATTCAATGTAAAAGTTAATATGGAATATACTAGGAAGAAAAAAAAAAAAGACCAGAATTCTATTAAAAAAGAAAATCTACTTACCCCAAAGTTAGTAGCAGCAAAGCGATCTGAGGCAGATACATTAGTTGCTGCTGTTGTATGAGCATAGAAAGCATTTATATTGGCCAACAATGTACTCATAACTGCTGGAACACCAGGGCACATGTATTTAGAAGAGAGACAGGAAAAATGCCTGAAATTCAAACAAACCAACAGTTATTAAAGATTGCAGGGAATCTGCTTCTTCTCTCATTATAATTTATTTCTAACTCCAATTATGTAACTTTCAGGCTACCTGGTGGAAAATTGTAAAGACGGATATGAGGAAAATCCAGACATGTTTGATACAATTGTCACTTGTTGAACACTGATATTTCCAAACTGGCCACATTAGATTCACATTCAGTTCTTACTCTGTTAATCCTAAATACAAAAACATGATTTAACTATTTTAATTCCTATTAAACAAAACATTCATATTTAAAGAAAACCTAAGAAGTAAACTTTAACTCATCATCACGGAAAGTCACAGAGATCTGTGGTAGAAAAAGATTAAATTGCTGACAAATAAAAGACTCAAACCAGCATTTTAGTGTGGTTTTTATTTCATGTTACATTATTAATGAAAGGTGCTTCAAGCAGCTTCTGAGTTCACCTTGATTTGAATTAGGTCATAACAAACTCTTCCACTTCGATCCAGGCCAGTAAAATTTAGGTAATGTCTGTTAAACCCAGAGGTGCAATGTAGCAGCACTGTTTACTTGTTTAATGAAACAAGAGATGCCTGCTGGAAGCATACAAAGAGCTTATAACACAACAAAATGTGAAAGATACAAATGAAAGAAAGATATGACACATGAGGAGAGTGAACATCATCACTGCAAATATAAATTCCTAATTTCAAGATCTATAATTAGGCAGGACTAGGAAAGAGAATGAGGGGGATTATAAAAAGATGGTGGTAAAAACAGGTGTACAAACAGAAGAGGATTAAGAAATTCCAATCAGGCTCTGTATGACTGAAGGTCCTGATTTGGCCACATGCTCCTCTTAGCTGGAGTCTCTGGCTCCTCTCTCCTGTTCCTTCTCAGGAGCATAAGGCAAAGCAGTGTGCTGGGCCTGAACCACCTGGGCACTAATGTCCTTCCAAGAAAAAAATTAACACAAGGTACAATTGACCTCTCCTGCTAAACTTAAGCCAAATTCCCTTAACTGTTGTAACTGCCCAAATCATCCTTCAAGGCATTATTCAAGATTATTTTCCTGTAGGGGCAATTATTAAGTGCTATTATCTGCATTTTACAGAACTGAAACTGCTCAAAACTACACAGAAACCAACCACATGGGCCAGGACTAGAGCCCAACGTTCCCAGCTATGTGCTTATGGAATAATGTTACCAAACCTTTAAATCACTGCCAGTATTTGTAAGAAGTGCTTTTGAAGACTGAAATGTGACTTCAACAAAAGAACAACACAGTTCTCTACCCCTCAGAAAAATCTTTCAAAACATATGTCATGTTTTCTGTCAAGTAGAAGAATACTACTTTCCTTTGTAATAAATTACAACAGTGATATCAGGTGGTTCTCACCAATAAAAGTAACCTTTAAAGCTAATAGAAATATCTACTTATCTATAGTAAGTTTGGAAAATATATGTAGGGATGATAGAACCAATTTTCAAAAAATTGACAAAATAATTAATACTTTTAATATTGATTACCTTTAATTTCTAAAAGTCTTTTAGTGGACTTAAAGGTCCTTAGTGCATGAGTAACATCAATGTGGAGATAAAAAGGCACTAATAACCCCACGGGCCTCAGAGTCATACCTGTAACATGCTCTGCTGAGGGTGGAGGCAGGCAAAAGGAACAAAAAGCAGCAATCACCGAGATTGTCCCAATTGCCTTTAAGGGAACATGACAGACCATGGAAATATTGTTTGGGTCAACATTTTAAGGTATCTTCAGCAGGTTGCCCTAACCATTTCACAATGAGCTACCCATGACCTGTACTGAATTCTTATATTGAGAATAGACCCAAACTGTACCAATTTTTCACAAGGAAAATTTAAAGCAATTGTAATACTTGGTTTCTCTGAGCCAGGTCTCATAAGCTCTCAGAGATAAGTATTACACCCAAGACAGCTCAGCTATCTCAGATGGCATAAAAGTAGCAGGATGGCTCCTGTGACAGTGTTGGAAACAGAAAAGTTTTAATAAAAGGCAAAATAACAAAGCTCTTTACAGAGAAAAACTGAGCCAGGGCAAGAGGTTTTTGCTCCTGCTAAAACACTTCACAAAAGCGATTACTTCTTTTGTTCTCTTCTTTTCTAGTGAATTGCTTAGGCAGGACTTTTTGGCTGCTGTCCAATTGGCTATCCTTAACTTTGAGGTGAAGTCTCCAAGGTCCTATGAGGTGTCTTTTAACCAAACTGAGGAGAGAAACTTGTGGGCTTTTTCCCTATTATGGAGACAAAGGGTAACTTGTTTACTCCATCAACAGGGGGCACATTCTACACAATTGCTATAATTTATGTCTTTATTGTATCACTGCACTGTTTCACCTGTAATGTGCTTAGTGAAAATTATGATAAAGCATCTGTGACAGATTTTTGTTTCTATCATTTAATTAAAATCCCTAATTTTCACAGGATCTATTAAGTACACAATATGGGTCACGACTCAGAGTGCTGGTAACTCAAGTTATCAGCTACCTGCAAGATACCTGGATTCCTTCTGCTTGCTGAAATGAATAAATCAAAGTAAACCCCTGTCCTTGTTTTTGCAGGTCTTTGAAAACAGCAGCCAGTAGCATGAATTATTAACAATTTCTAGTGGGCACATGATCTCACAGCAACCATTGCTAAGTCTCACACATTTTAGAGGACAGTTGCACTGCATAAGCTGAAACCTGGCCTGCTTGCTCCAACTTTCTTACTATGCAATTTTCCGACCAATAGACAGTGCCTGGGATTCTTCCAGTATTTCTGCTAGCATGAATTAGCAAAGAAAGGAGTGTAATTGATGTGCTGTATTCATCAGTAAGCAAATGCTATCAATAAAAAATTAGTTTAATGGGCAATTTGTGTGCTTTCTGTAATGCTGCCACATTAATTGAAAACTAGCAGGAGAACAAGATGACATAGTTAGTGTCCATTAACCTGCTGGAATGAGAACTATGTTGCTGATTGAGAATCATTAGGTTCTACCTGTGGTGACTCTTGCCAGTAAGAAGTAAAGATCTTAATAGAGCTTTTATTGCACTTGACTCTATTACACAATAAATTCAGGCTGATGATATTATGTGTAATTTCAGTGTCTAGTCAAACACTGTTTCAATATGTACTTGGATTTTTGCCTTCTAAAGAGAAATAAATTATGCTGAAAGATGAATGGCAGGAAAAAAGTTATTTCCCCTTCATTGCAGAATGCGGCTTAATATATGTAGGTAAATAAAGTTCCAGTATGATTCCTTCTAGACATTGACTTTACAGCTCAAACTGCCATCAGTCCCCACAGTCATCAAAATAAAGGCCAGCTGTCATTGTGCTGTTTTTCTACTTTTTCTTCCTGTCATTTGTGATATTTATTTTCCTCCCTATTGTCTCACACATCCATGCTTGTACCAGTCGTGTGGCTAACAGTGTCTGTCTGGCTGCTATCCAACACAAAAACAAAAAAAAAAATTCTCATCTGAACCATGCAAGAATGGCTGTAATGGTCTTGCTTTTCTTTTCCTAGCTCAGACTTCATGAGGAATGAAAGAATAAAATAATCATAAGAAAGAAGAGTGGATTATGTAACGTATAGACTTCAAAGAGCTGCAATTACTGCAACAGAATCAGTCTTTTTGTTGTATTTTAGTTTGGGTTGATGGTTGTTTTTCTATTAACATGAATTCCATATTTGGTAACTTAAAGTAGATTTCCTTGCTCAGGAGCTGTGCAGTTGTAGTCCTTATCTTAAGAGTAAAACACCCCTTCTAAGTCAGCATCTTCATGGGAAAAAATCTACATTTATTTCATAAAAATGTGGAGATGTTCTTATCTCCAGCAAGTGGTGCAACCACACCGGAATTCTCTTTCTAAGTCTGGTGAGAAAGGTCTCACTGCAGACAATGACTAGAGCAGACAGGTAACCTGCATGATATCTTCTGGTCTGATTCCACATTTCAGTATTTGCTGTGTTTAGAAAATCAGACTAAATATTTGAAATATTATTTTTGTGCTCTAAAGGAGAAGATACAAATAACTATTGAGGGCCAGAAGGAAATCTTCAGGATTTATTAAGGGATCATAGATGACAAAGCCACCATCATGAACCAGAAATTATACACAAGTGGGATTGTCTTTTGCTGTAGTGGGACAGGATACCAAAAAACTTCAGACAGGGGTACTTTAGAAAAGCATAATCAGATTTATGCTGTATAGAAATGCAGAAAGTTATATGTTCCTACTCCAGCATATGCCATGTTTCAATAGTTAAAATGGTCAAGACTGACTATCATTAAGTGGCACTGAAACTTTTTATAATAGCTAACTTTAAAACAAATACGAATAGTAAAAATTAAATTTAGGCAAAAAGAGCATCTCGTTAACATCATCCTAAAACTCACGTAGCCTGATAAAGCGCAGATACTCTCTGGGGTCTGGATCCTGGGGTATTAAAGCTTAGTCAGTTTTGTGTTTACAAACACAAACATTTTAATTTCCAATGTTGTCATGAGACATGCAGTAGAAGAACTCTGCAACTAGATTCTCAAGCATACACAAAATTCCTCTGGGCTAAGTGATTACATTCAAATTCTCTCTGTTGTATAATAAAGAATTTCTTTTGTTTTAGTAGAAGATCTTTGTTACCAAGTGAAATCTGATAATTCTATTTTCCAAATCAAGAAGCTGTACATTTTCTTCCAGCCACTAAAATTGTTCCAGAAGAAAAAGGTAATCTCATAAAAAGAAATAAAACCGAGAGATAATAGTCCAAAAGAAAATTCCTCATGACAAATAGACTTAGTGTCTTCACTACTCTTCTCCCCAAAATCTGAATGCTCCGAGATGAGCCTGCAGATGAATCAGCAAAACAACGTATATGAATATATATTTTTCTCCAAGTATTACTTAGATTACATGCATCACTGATTTTATTGCTAACTTAAACAGGCTGGGGCTGTCCCCTCAAAAAGGCAGTGCTCATTATTGACATGATAAAATATAAAAGGATGTGGGTATAGGGACAAAGAAATCTTAGTTTTTATTTCTTTTGACTATCAATATTAAATTAATTTTCTCATTACATCTGCTTTCAGATACCTGGTTTGCAGTCAACAACATCAAGGAAATTTGTGGGAAAAGGTATAGAAGAAAGCAAGACCAAAAAGAGGGCATGGCAAAATAGGTTAATTAACTTAGAATGGCTTGGTTAGAGTTTTTGAGTAAGGACTCCTGAAAAATGTGTTGGAGTATTTGCCCAGATCCATGTTAGATGTGCAGACTAAATTTACTTACTTTCCATGAATATCTGAATGTTATTTACTGAGTTAAAAACAAAGCATCTTCTTAATATAAAAATACAACTTGTCAAGTCCTACCACTATTAAGTAAAAAATATTTTATATACTCATATCAGTTATATTGCTATTTTTGCAATGCTAACTTATGCATCATCTGTATTTCGAAAACCAGTTTCAAACTTTTGCTGGAAAATTTGGCAGTATATGAATACACTGAGTGATGAAGAAAAACAAAATTCAAAATAATTTTACAGTTGTCAGTCAAAAATTCAGCCATGTTATACTGAGATAATCAACTACTGAGGCTATGTTAAGACAAAACTAATGCTAAATCAGCCCTTTATTTCTTATGCAAATCACTAATAACAGCCCTCCTTTGGCATTAATAGCTCTTAACAACTCATTTCTGGTCAAAACTTGAACTAATTTTGATACACAGAGCAGGAACAACTCTATCACTAACATTTTGGTAAAAATCCCATACCATTTTAAATCAAGTTATAAAACTACAATACCAGGATAAGTTAATAAATGACATAACAATTACACAGACCTACAGAGAAACTAAACACAGAAACACAAATACTCATGAAAGTCAACACACTAATTCCTCCATATGTAATATAAATACAAAACAGGGGAACTCTCAAGTTTCATTAATTATTATGTGCAATGCTGTGTAAGTTCCTTGAAGGAAAAATCACTAAAAATGTGTACAGTACAAAATACATTCCCTGACCCTCTATTAGATGAACAATACAAGAAATTCACAGACAACTACATTAAGTGAAAGACAAGCTCATTGCAATAGTAGGTGGTGTCAATACATTATGCAATGAATAGAAAACTTCATATTTTTATGTACCTTCATACTTATAATAAGACTTCTTTTTAGGAGGCAAGGAGATGCAAAAATATCAGAGATGTTCTGATTAAAAATCCCACAATATCAGGTTTCTGTAAGAAAAAAGTCTGTATTTTTTATTTATAGGACTCATTTGAAGTCCCCTGCTTTTCTACAGCTCCAGCAGAATATAGTCCTTTTCACCAGAAAGGTTTTTGCTGGATAAATTGAGAGCATATGATGGACCTCTCATTATCATGAGCCTCTGAGCTAGGTGGTGCTGTGTTCTAAGCTGTTCAGACAGCTACTTCAGAATGGACAATGTAGTAATAGGTCTCAGTACTGTTAAAAATGGTTCGCACTAATTATTTACATGTACTCTGGAAGATCACTATAGCCACTAGTGAGCTTCCATAGTAGTAGAAGAGTACAGAGCTTGTGAAACCCTGTTCCAGTTGCATCTGGAACATTGGAACTCTTTATGAACCGTGCTATATATCAGTATCATAAGGATTATGGAATGCATTAGCAGTAATACCAGTAACAGCTTATAAAATGCTTGTATCTTAAAGCCACTGCAGATGAGAAGCACTTTAATGAGAAACAGATGGACAAAATGATAAGAATTTGAAGTCAGGAATGAGAAGAGAAACAGTGAATGAATTCACAAAGGCTTGAAGTTCATTATTTTGCTCAAACACATTGTTGACACCAAAGCAGAAAGCAAGCCATGATGATACTTACGTCATAGCTTGATAAATATATTCAATTCCATAGCGCATTGCAAATTCATCCACAATTTCCTGTGCAGCATCATCAAAGTACACCTTCCAGGCCTCATCGCCTTTCACCTCAGGGATTTTCACCACACCATTCGACTTCACATCCGTCAAGTAATGGAAGAGATTCTAAAGGTATGAAACATTTCAAAAATGGAAGTTTGGCTTTTAAGAAGCATTCTGAAAATATATCCTACATATAGTATTCAACATGTTGTTAGTAAATTTTTATTTTTCCAAAGACTGGCTCAAACTAGTCAGCAGACTTGTGATTCAGCACATTGTAACTTCTTAATATAAAGTCTCTGCCTTTAACTGGCACAGAAAGACTGCAGCATTAAACAGTGCAGAAACTTCTCATTTATATGCCCTTGCTAATGAATGAAATCAGGATATTGTAATATTTATTGCAGAGTGTTTCAATTTCAATTGTATCCATGACCAATACATTTCAAATTCATTATTTAAGTCCTTCACTTACAGGGAGCTAACAGAAACACTGCAGCTGCCTCTCAAGTTGTGCAAGATTTGCAATAAAGCTTAGGTTTAGTACCCTTGGGAGCAAAGCTAGGATTTGACATACATGGCATAGAATGCTAGATTGCCTAGCTCCTTATGTATCCACTAATTCCACAACTTTTTTGTATCCACAAAATCCCATTTTGGATTGGATAAATAAAAATAAATAAAATAGATTTATTTCCTATTTCAGTGATTGAAAAAAAAAAACAACCTAAAACCTCAAAATACTTTTAGTTTTGCTAACTAGCCCTTAATTGTCTCTTGGATTCCCTTAAAGCATTTGAATATTGTCATTTACTTCATAAGTCCAACATTTGCAATTTCAGGTCAAAATTGATCAGCAGAAATGCCGTAAATATCTGATTTTACAAATGGTGAACAATGGGACTTTGTGGCTACATGCTAGTGGTGAACTTTCAGTCATGTATGAGCTATCAGCTTTCAGAAACTACTTGTATTTCCAGAATAGAATTTCTACATGGATCACTATTTGAAGGAAGAATAGTCAATTACAAAGAAAATCTTTCAGAAGACACACCTATTCATCAGTGATGGTTTTTTTCAATGTTGACAAAAGCAAATTAGATGAAAGGAAAATTAGATTTTATAGTATTAGTGTTTCTCCTTTTTCTCACTCTCCAAAATATGTATTACTGTAAAACAAAAGAAATCCTTTACAGTATACTTCTGTAATATATATATAAATGTTTGTATATTCCTGATGCTAACAATCATGTATCAAAGAGCTAAATCAAAAAACAGTACAGGCAGAGTTTATCTGGCTCAACCTCTTTTTCTAACACCTCCTGGCAGGAATGATTTGTTTGTTGGTCTTATGTTATTCTACCCTTGCCTCTGAACCTGATACTTCCTCAGCAACACAGAATGGGAAATCTAAAATAAACATGTCCTCAAGTACAGCAGCAGTTATTTGTTTCAGTGCTCTAATGTTCTGTAGCCTTTTTTCTTTATCCATGCAACAACTGAACAGTAATTTCTATACTGTATACTATAACTCCTCCAACATACCTCATGTAGACAGGTGTACTGCACATGATAGGGAGCAACTTTCTCCTCTCCTTCAATTTCAACATTGATTTTCAGTCTAATGGCCCCAGAGACAGCCGATTTATCTGTTCGCTTTTCTGAAGAGTGGAAAAATAATACATTAGTAACTGCCAAGAACACATGTATGTCATATGAAAAGCTTTCATAAATCATTCTAGTTTAATCTTTTAAAGCCAAGGAGTCCTGCTGTTGAAAAAAAGAATGTTTAATACCTCACACATGGTTCAGGCCACAAAATAAAATATCTAACTATGAAGTAAAGAATCTTTCTTATTTTATCTCCTCAAAAAAAGGCTGCACATCTATTTATATAATACTTTCCTCTTTTCAATTGAAATTACTACAATTTTCTACCTGATATCTGTGCTAATTATTATTATTATTTTCCTTGAGTTATGAGGACTTTACCAAAAACCTGGACTACTCTGAGTGTGATGGGCTGAATCTGGTAGGTGCCCACCAAAGCTACTCTATCACATCCCTTCCTCTGCTCGATAGAAAATCTAATGAGAGCCCCATGGGTCAAGAGAAGGATGAGGAACAGATCACTCACCAATTACTTCCATGGCCAAAACCAGACTCAGCTTGGGGGAAAATCAATTTATTACCAGTGAAATCAGAGGAGGATAATGAAAAATAAACCCAAATCTTGAAACACACCTTCCCCTCACCCATCCCTTCTTCACAGGTTTACTCCTGATTTTCTCTTCCCCTTCCCTGCCAGTGGCACAGGGGGATGGGGCAGTAGGGGTTCTATCTTCTATTTTCAAATCAACCTGTAACATTTAATACTTTAAAAGTCATACATTGGTACCAAAGGTACATATTTTGAAGTCACAAAGTTAAAGACAGTAATACTCTACCTAAATTTGTTTCAAAAAATCAGTAAGAATCATACCTAAATTATACCATACATCCATTTCTCCACTCAGTGTTCTTACTTCAATGATTGTTTGCCCAAGGAAGTCATCTGACTCCTTTTTGAAATGCTGTTTTACTCTAGATTTGATATCATCATCTTCATCCCATACTCTTACTTTTATTCTATCTGTAGAGTTATGACATTCACTGGAAAAACAAAAATAAAACACAAAATATGAGCGATATATTAACTATATTACCCTGTACTGCTGTCTAATTCATTAAACTCCATCTCCACACACTTGCTTAACTGCACCAAATGTCAAAGCACAAACAATCTGCAACATCCAGAGGAAAAAAAAGGTCATCCCAGACTGCCAGGGACAAAACTGTAATTACTATATATATATATATGGGAATTACTGCATATAAAGAGAATAATGTGACTGAATTATACATACGTAGAGACTGCATTTAGGAATGACAATAACTGTTCATTAAAATTTTTAATTAGAAATTCATACTTCTTGATGCTATTATTTAACAGATACCTTAGGAAAGATACAGTAAGGTCAGGCTTATTTCTTTAGGAATGCCATGTAGTACATACAGTAAACTACCAAAGTAGTACTCCAGAACAATACAAAAAGAAAAAAGTAAAGAATATTTCCAGTGTGTGTCAGGAAGCTTTTGTTAAAAATCAAGAAGTATGCACAAACATCCCAGCAAGGAAAGAAAGGCAATCAGGAAGATGAGTAGCTGGCTGTTTTTTTAAAAGATACATTAATGTTCTTCAAGACCTCCATTCCCTGGTAAGGAGAAATGGTAAGGGACCATGCCATGTTCTAAAAAAATTATTGTAAATTTAAAGTGGCTTACTAACCCCTCCTGGTCTGAGTGGATTTTAGAAAAGGCTGGATGTATGAGGGAATGAGGTAGCTTCACTTGCAATCTACAGAGTACACAGTGGATGAAAACTTTTACTCCCAGCTGCACCCTGCATTTATTTGCACAAAATGGAAAAGAAACTCTATTACTGCTTAGTCCTATAAGGCACAATGAGGACTATTTACTATTTGTTGGTGATGGCTTTGGATGACTTGACTGGAATATCCCAACCCTGACTGCAGAGGTTTGGGTTTGTGAAAAAATTTCTGCTGAAGTTTGACTAGTACAGAGCTGGCATCAGTTAAATCCATATCAAACTCGTGCATCCATATGAAGTATTGTTTTCAATATCCATTCACTAGTGCTACAGAAATACTTTTTATATTACATACCTTTGTTTACCTTTAAACATGACCTTGAAGCATAGATGCAAATTTTCATCTTCAGCAGGGCATTACTTTCACACTTGATTAAGAGTTTTTACTCTAATTCTAGTCTAAGCACTATCACTGCTTAGTGATCTGTCTCGGTTTTCAGTGTTAAAACAGCAATACTCCAATTTATCTTCCAAGCAGCACCCCTCAAGGGTATTCTAAGAATTAATTAGTGGTAGTAATGGGCTTTGGAAGTATAAAGTGCTGTAAATGGTATTATTACTGTCAAGGCCAATCAGTCACTAAAAATGGCATGCACAGCTTTTACTCTGCCACACTGTGACATCATGCAGTATCACAGAAGTCCTTGTGTCTGTCTGTATTCCAGATTTTAACTTTGCAGATAATTCTGGTAATTAAAATGCACATTGTTCTGTGATTAGCAAAACTAATAAAGCACAGTTTCCTTTAGTCTTATTACTGGCTTCCCTGACATCCAACCAACCACAATCACCTACTGAATCTTCTCCTATAGTCAGGGTTTTCATACATTACCCCTTTATGTGAACTCCTGTTATCTATTATGGGATGAGCTCATACTGAGGACAGTTAATATCTCTCTCTGACCACATATTTTCATAGAACATGACAGACATACTATTTGGCAAACTGTGAAATTTCTCTGACTGATCACAAAATTCAAAAGCAATTGGCAAGCACACACAAAATATAGGAAGATAGCGATGGACCAAATAAGTATTGCTGCCTTGAGAAACTAGGCTAAACACAGAAACCATTTAATTCTCCTGGAATGTAGCTCTAACTTACTACTTAACATTGCTAAAGTCCTGAATTGCATTTAGCTGTGCATTCAACAGAAACAACTGACAGGGGATTTCTATAGAGACATAGGGAGTTCTGTCACTGGTGAGGTATTTCTGTGACCCTCATCACCATACCTGTGCTTTTGATAGAAATCTTACTCCTACTTTGATTCTCTGGCAGATGCTGCATATAAAAAGTCATTATGTACTTCAGCACAAACATCATATTTCTATTCTTCTGGGACAACACAAATTTCCCTCTCATATACACTTAGCTGATAAAGCAATAATTTATTCAGATGGTCAGAACTCCCTGATATCCTCAGTTGTCCTCAGCATCCTTCTCTCCTTTAATCTTAGGATAGTGAAATGTGTTAACTTGTGTTCATCTTTGTGTTGAAACTTCACCACAGAGTCAACTCTGCTACATTTGTAATGTTCCTGTGCAGGAACACAAAAAAAAATTGGGTTTAAAAACTGAAGAGTGGATGAGCAAGTATTTCCTCCTGGCCTGCCCTGTGGCAGTGTGACTGCAGGGAGATTTAGAGCTAAAGTTACAGAGCTGTCTTTGAATGATCCTGCTTACCTGCCCAGACTCAGAAACAGCCCTCTGTAATAACATGCACATTCTGCTTTAGTCACTGCTAACACCCATCCAGAAGCTCTGGGTGGAATTCCTGCTTCTGTTTACTCCAGGAAAATCAGCCCAGGGAATTAAAGGCTAGACAACATATGCTAGTTTCAGCGTTCCTCTTCTAGTCATTCTGCTTTATATGCTCAGTAAGAGCATTCACAGAAGTGTGATAGAGAAGATGAGAAATGAATTGTTCTCTAGCACACAGAGATTTGAAAGTACTGATGCTTCTGAAAACTACAGATTTTGAAGTCTATTCAGAGATGCAAGACAGAAGAGACAGTTTTAATAATTTACCAACAATCTGGTGACACTACATTACTTCTACATTTCCAGAATGCTACACAGACATGAAATAATCCTAATTGAATTTCAGCTTATTCTAATGGTTAGAGTAATAAAACTGGAATATTAAAGTATCTTTACAACAGTACCTCAATGTAAATTTAATATTAGATGCACTAGCATGATCTTATTGTACATATCCTCTAAGAGATTTGCACCCAGTATTAAAATGACAACTAAGTGATACTGTGCTACCTTCAGTAAGTTCAGGGAGCCACTTATTGTTATTATTACCCTCATGTTTATTATTATTATTATTGCCATTACTGCAAGCCAGAATCTGACCCACACCATTGTTATGTCCACTTTGCTCTTAGGTATTCACAGACAGTTCCATGGTCCCTTAGGATATATCTTCCAGAACTTCATTAGCCCCACTGTTGGCAAACTTTTTCTGAAGTCTGATTTAAACCTCTCTAAATGTAATTTGTGGTTATTACTTGTTCTACTATAACAGTAAGCATGGAAAATAGATTATTCCTTTCCTCTTCTCAGGAGAAAGGATGTGTTTAAAGACATCCTTACCTCCACTACTTGTCTCTTCTCTAGTCTGGACAGTCCCAATTCTTTAGCAGTGTTGTCACGAGCCACGCTTTCTGATAAAGTAGAATGAGACTAATTATGCTTTCTCTTGCATTATTTTACTCTGTCATAACAAAAAGAGAGTTGTATAATTAATCTGCATTGACAGCAGTTTGAAAAAAAGACTCAGACCATGCATGCTGTACTGTGAAACTGAAAATATTATCACTGAACAAGCAATTTATCATTGGAATTGCTTCTTAGAGGTGTTCTGCTCTCTTGATTTGGGCTGAGGCAGTGAGATACAGTTATTTTGATAGCCAAACGTCTCTCAGAAACTTGGCAGATTATTGAAGAACTTTTGGAATAGATGAATCTCGTAAACTAATGTGTAGTTTTTATTACTCAATTGGTTTTATGTAATACAATTCCCTGTTATATCCTCTTGCATAGGAGGCAGTCCTTGAGCTATTTCAACAGTTCTGGCAAAACTGTGTTTAGATATCGCTGGAAACTGGAGCACCATTTAAGCAGTTAACCATCTATGTTATCTTCAGGTACAGTGAAGATCGTATTTTTTAAGTCAGTTCAGCTGATCAAGAATGTATAAAATAACAGCTGAAAGGGACTTCAGTGAAGTCCTCTTGGCCACTGACAGTAAATATTGCTTGAAATGAATCCACTAATAATTTATTTCAGAATAAATAATGTGCGAGTGCCATGCTTTAAAGTAACTCTAAAGAAGAAATATCTACAGCTGGATGATTGAAATCAGTTTGGGCAAATGTTTTCATGCACTGAAGAGCAATATAAATCCAATGAAGATATTTATTAGAGCTCTTATGCTGTCTTATTGACAGCCAAAATACAAAAAATAAATAATGTAAAATAATCATCCAGTTATTTGAAAGATCTCTGTATTATACAATTTTATCTGAGGTATTTATGAATGGTCAGAGGAAATGCAGTACCTGCAAAGTCAGCAGGGCAATTTGGAGATGTGTGCTAGCCTAGACAACACTATCAGAAAAAAACACATTTCAGTAGGTCAGTAACCAAGTGTTGAAAATAGTCAAGAAAAGAACGAGAGTAGACTTTTGTTATAGTGTATCAATACAAAGGTTTCTACAAAACTGAAAAATGCAGCCAAAATATAGCTTCCTGTAATTAAAAAAAAAAAAGAAAATGCAGTCCCTTTTCCTGTATCAGATGCCACACTCAACCAGAAAGAGAAGGTGACAGCTGCAGGACTCTTCCTTTGCTCTGGCATTGAAGAACTCTCCTATCATTGATGTTTCATTGAAAAAGCCCCAAAAACTTCTGTTATCTCATTTCTAATAATACCAGGAGAAAGGATCAAAGCCCTTAGCACCTATATTACATTCATTAAATGAACATCTGCTGGCCTATTTACTTCTCCACCTTGTGCACCAAAAAGCTCTATTTTAGTTATGCTTTATGAGGTCCCCTGTTCAAATCTATGCCACTGTCCCATGGTCATTTAGCAGGGGGTCTGACTACAATTTGTCAGAAGCATTCTCTCACTGTTACAACGCCAGCATACCTGGGTTACGTGTGCTCCTAAGAACAGGAACACAGCCCTCACTGCCTGTGCTATGACAGAGCAAATGCACAATGGGGAGCCAATGCTGCTCCAAGTCCTTATTTTGGAACAGATGGGAAGACTTGAAAACATGTTTTGGTATGATAAGTATGCATAAGATTGTAAGATTTTTGAGACATCTTATTTCTGCATTTTATAATTTAAAATTTATAATGATGGTTAAGATTAGATTCTCAACAGGATTTAAATATCAATTACCACTAATAGAGCCTAATTTAAAAAACACTTCCTGAGTCAATCAAATAGTTATATTGATTTACTTTAGATTTAATCTTCTGGTTAAACATTTATAGTTTATTTAATACAATTTAGAAATTCTCATATACTTTCAGCTGAAATCCAAAGCATTAAAAATAATTCAGAGAGATTATTTCAGAAAACACGTGCTATAAAAATGTTGGAAAATTTATTCAGTGCTCAGGACATTCATGCTGTAATAAACTTTGGCAGGGAGGGATATAAATATTATTCCTAGGGCAGTAGATGATATAATATTTTGTTCTGGGGAAAAAAAATTGAATATTTTCAAGTTTCTATGGATTTGATTATAGCTCTGCTCACATATTTGAGAAACTACATTCAACAAACTTTCTATGAAATTTGCTGAATTGCTCATCCAATTTTTGACATGCAATTTTAATAATTAAAATGGAAGAAAGTAATTCTCTCCTACTTTTGGACACTCAAAGCCATTCAATGAGGTATGACACTTCAAGTGTTACCACAGTAACACAGTTAACTCAAAAAGAAAACACTTTCTGGATAGAAGAAGCTTGTAGAAGTTTCTAGGTGTCTCTTGCCTCTTAAGTACCTATTCATTTCTAATACAAGCATTTGAAACTGTGAAAGGAACAGCATACATTGTTTAATTCACCTGGCATTCTCTAGTTCCTTTTCCAGACAAATAGAAGCAACATCTTGGACCAAAACACTTTCACACTCTACTGAAACAATAACCTCCTCTTCAATAAGGTAGCAGATTTTGGTCAAAACACAATCCAGGTAAGTCCTAGCTTGTGAGAAGGTAACCTGTCATGTTATGACATTGCACCTTTCTGAAGAAAACAGGGCGCTATTTCAAATGCCTGAACCCTCACAGAAACTGTTTGCACAGTTTATGTAGATAGGAATAGTGACAACTTCTTCCCTTTTTATAGGAGGAAATAAGTACAAGAATAAACTAAACAATGTCATCATACTGTACTCTCCACATTTGACTTCTGGACAACACTCAAAGTATGGACATTGCAAACACACCAACCCTGAGCCTGGAGCACAGAAGTTACTACCAAGTTCCCCAGTTACACCTCAGAGAATCACAGTGTCAAATACAAAACACATTTACCTTGCATGGTCAGTATCTGGCACATAGGAAAACATTTCTAATGACAATACTTGGTATGTAAGGTTGAAGTATGAAAATTGTTACCTAAGTTCCCTTAAAGACTAGAATAATTAGACACCACCAATAGATCCCAAAAAATACTTAATTATAAGCTGCATGATCACTATAAGATAAAGACACATGGATGCTCTCTCCATTCAGAACTTGCATATTTTCAAATTAAGCCAATATTTCACTTGGTAGAGTTATATTACCTAAATGTAGATAAAATAGCAGTATCAATGGCATTTTCTGTACTTACAAATAGAATTTTTCATCCCATACTGGATTCAAATTTCCAAAAATAGTTTTTGTTCTTCGCTTGTTTTTGCCAACTTGCACAGTAACATATGGGTCACTTGAACCAGTTTTGTCCTTAGCCTGTAAGCCCTGAGCACAAAGAACTGCAACAAAGGAGAGAAATGAGCTTTAGCCCTCATAGCCTTTATTGCCAGGAAGTAAATGAGAGTGACAACAGCAACAGGAAACAAAGGCCTCACAGCGAGGGATTGTGAAGGAAGGTTTCTGGATTATTTTCCCAATGTCTGTAACTCTGGAGGCTGACAAGATTTGTATAACTACCCTTCTGGACTGTATCATATTTAAAAATAAAGTTTAATAGAGTAATAATTGTAAAGATTCACTAGAGAGCACCAAACAAATACTTTTCACACATATTTCAAATACTTTTCTCAACCATTGGTTAAGTCAAAAGGGCAAGGAATATGCTGTATAACTTGAGTCTGATAGTTCCCTAAAGTTCCCTGCCCCCAGCAAACAAATAAAAAAATATTTCCAGAATTTCTCCAAAAATCCAAACTAACATTTCCAAAGTAAAACCTCCACTAATATAGAAAAATATCCCCTGTGGCTCATAGAACTAAACATGAGGGACATTACTGCCATTTGTTCTCTTAATAGATGAACCATGACTTTTAGAATACTTTCTATGCTATCACAGAGAGGATGACATTTCAGATCAATTATCATCAACCGTTTATGCATTTGCTATCCTTTCTGACACTTAGTGTGGGTGTATAGTTAATGAATATGAATTTAGTAGCAAATATAAATACATACAATTTGATTTTCGATCATAATTCATAGAAGTGGAAATCTCAGGAGAAAGCAGAGCTGACAAAGAGCAGCCTCCCAAAGCCAGAGAAGTGCAGCTAAAACACTTGCTCTGGCTCTTACGATTCAGCAGCAGTTGGCTTTGTAATTCTGCACATACTGTTTTAAATATCTCAGTGCTAACATTGAGTTAATGTTCTCTAATGTCAATCATTTTGGATAATGAAGCTCCCTTGGCGTGCTCAGGAAAAAGATTACCTAAAAATGGCACCTTGCTCAGCAGATCAGCTCGGTGTGGGTTCAGTCACATGTGCTGACTTCAGTGAAAGAAGTAAAATTCTGCTATTCTTTAACATATCCAATTTCTGAAAACACTCTTAGGAATGAAATAGCATATTCTGTCTTCCCCTTTCATTCTAAAACTTTTAGAAGGTAAGGAAGTATCCCTCTCCTATTTATGCAGTAGAATGAAGGGACAGCCTAGCAAAAGTCTTCAAGAATTAAATTGTATGCACATACTGCCCTGAACACAAGATAGCCTTCAGTATCCTTTAGAGGTAGAACTAAAAATAAACATATGAATTAAATATGTCCCAAGTGCTTGGTGACAGTCCCAAAATTCCACAATTATTCTTCTGAGTTTCATGCACCACCTCTCAACCTTCAGAATCACCTCCATTTATGCTGAGGCTTTAGTTCAAAAACTGAAATGACAAAGTCAGAGGACCTGGAAATCTACATGAGCAACCAGGCTAATGCAATTGGAAGCCATCTGGAATATGTTTAAAGTGAGCAGAATTATGCAACATCAGCATCACTAAAATGAACACACCCTTAGTCAAGCAACGTGAATGGATAATAAGTTTCAAAACCAATGGGATCTGGAATTGCAAGCTCAAGTGTTTTTTAATCACTTAAGCCTATTTTTTGGCGAACTTTAACTCTTGCAGTTGGTGGCAAAAAACTCATCATTAGATGATATTGGTAGGAGGTAGAGGAGCTAGATTATTTTTACTGGTCTTCCTTCCTATAGCAGTAGAATAGAAAGTGGTTTTGGCAACTTAAAACTCAACTCTTGCAGCTGGCATCCTATAAATTCAACTGTTTGTATATGCACCAAGTATGCAACTGAACACACAGTCCAGCTCTACTTATAAAAAATCTTGCTCCTGAATCAGGGGAATAGGAAAGAAAGAGTGATTAGAACAGAAGAAAATTACCTGTGATAGTTACTTTTGCTGACCATTTGGATGTTCCATCCAAAACACTTTGTTTTGCTGCTTTTGTATATTGTACAAAATCTTCTTTAGAAATATTAAACATTTCCTGGATCACTTCAAACACCTCTGGTCTATTTTTCTCTCTAATCTTCATTCTTTCCTTCATAGCACTAATAATATTCTGTGTTTTGTCTTCTGCACCATGTTTGGAACTTTTCTCAGCTGCTCCTGAAATTCGAGAAAAATTCACCATTGTTATTGAAAATTAACTTTGTTCTTTTTCCCCTCTAAGGTCTCCCACCAACTCTTGGTACAGCAGTACCTGAAGGAGATCTTAGTTTCACCTTAATAATACCTTATATATATATATATATATATATATATATATATATCTTCTTTGTGATAGCTAAAATTATCAGTTGTGAAAACATCATCTAACTATCCTCAAATCCAGGGAGGATTCAAGTATTATTGTTCCCTTTAGAGGGTTAGTAAAACTAAAACAAAATAATTTTGAACAATTTGTTATACAATTATAATTGAGATATTTCAACATTGAAGAAGCATAGAGTTCCTTCTTTACAATACCATCAAACACCAACATGTTATTTTGAAGTTTTGGTTGAGGCTCTCAGCTTGCAATGGTTGAAGAACCTAGAGCTGGAAAGGGTCATGTTCAGCATTAGATTTCAGTGAAGTTTTATAAAACAAATATTATGTGGTTTCTTTTCTTCAGTTTTCAGTGTGTCAGAAGGTTTCTTAGCACATAAGAGGCAACTGATATCTACATCTATATAGAGAGATGTAAAGTGGGAAGGCATAATGTTGTAAGATAGGAAAAGTGTGGGTTGAAATACTAGATAGCAGTGATTCCAGCCTGCCAAAAGGCTGAAATATATGGCTTCTTCAAGCAGTTTTCCATGGCCACTAAATCCTGAGAAATCTGGAAAATCTCTTGGTCAGACTAATGACTCTTTTTGAATATGGAAGACCAAAATTCTCATGATTGAAGATTATCCAGACTTAAAAATTAGGAATTAACAGAAATAGAATTATGTGCTACCATAAAACAAAATACCAGTTAATAAATTCTCTAGTGATTTTATTACAAAAGAGATGATTACTGAGCTGACTGGAAAACATGACAGATAATTCTTAGAAGATGCAGGAGGGAATTTTTTTTCATTTTTTCCTATTTTCAGCCCTTCCTTAAAATGTAGAAATGCAGTAACATAACTGAATGATAAACCCTGGGCATAATCTGAATGGCAATAACATATTCCTGTTAGAAACCGTGTTGATTTTTGAGACAGCACAGGTAAAACTGAAATATGTGTTAAAATACAACTTCCTTTAAGTAAATATCTTTCTATTTATACTCATTTATTGCAACTAGTTTTACATCCCCTATTGCGAACAACCTCTGCTGCTGTCTATCAACAACTCTTTTCATGGAGTATCGATCAAACTAATTAAGACAATAGTGTAACTTACATTGCACAGGAAGTTAACAAGCTCCTTTCGCCCTAGGGACTGATACAAACTCAACATGATTGAAATCAATTCTAATTTAATATTGCACCTAGTACTAGAAAGGATATCTTATTGAAGATGAGAGAGCTAATGAAAGTGCTACTGTTTTTTTTTCTAAATCTAATTTAGAACAAGTTTATATATTGACCCTAAAGATCTTGAGATGTGAATTCTTTTCTACAGCCTACATTAGCAATCATTATATATTAAAAAAAAAACCAAAACAAAAAAATACAGAATTTTGAATGCGAATACATCCCGCTGATTATGAGACGAGCAAAAGAATGACTGATAAAAATAACTACATTTCACTTTATGACACTGTTAGCATCAGCTTTCTCAGAAATAGAGATTTAACCAATTGGTCAATTCATTTTTTCAATAGAAAACAAGGAACATGAAATTTTGAAAGCAGTATACTATGAACACTGAACAATTAATCTGTTGCAAAAAATATGTCAGGATGCTCAGAAACATTTGCATACTAATGAGAAGAGTGGCATCCCTTAGGCCTTAAATATTTTATCTGCAATTTGCCTTCTAGAGGTTTTGTTCTTTTAAGATTCAGTTGTTTGGGCTGGTGATATGGGCCAGGGGCCAGCAGCCCAGTTTCAGCCACAGTGCAGAATCACAACCAAGCACAGTAAGGAAGTTTGATTTAGATATTCATCACTGATTTATTGTCTGTGGGGTCAGTTCCTCTGGGAAATTTTAATTCCTGAGCAGTACAAACCTTGTGCATCCATCCCTACGTGACAGCTCCTCACACAGAAACACAGTGGAAAAAAAGGAAGAACTGAGTGAAATATCTGTGTAGTTTTCCTACATGTAGTAGCTCTTGAACATATCAACAGTGAACAGTGTTGAATAATTCCAGAGTATGAAAGCCCATTCCATTCCAAAATTTAAAAACTTGCAGATCTTGATTATCTATTGCTTAGAATATAGTATAATAAGATATATAATATGTATAATGTGTTGTAATTTAAGAATCGCTTCAATACACCTGATATATTTTCACAGAAGAATTCAGTGGCTGGAACCAAGCTGAGCAAGGAAAAAGCAAAGAAAAGGTTGTTTTGCCTTAATTCTATAGTGAAATGACTTACTGACAAATTTTTTTCCCCCTTATACATGCAGGGTTTAGTATTTTGAAGGGACAAGATCCTACTTACTGTTTCATATTTTTGACAAATAGATAGCACATCAATATGACTACAGTAAGTAGCAGGAATATTTAAAAAAATATTTTCTTTGACATTTTCTGTGTTTTAAGTAAAAAAAAGAGGGTTTATGTCAAGTAATAAATTGCTCCAGATATTGCCGAAGGCAGTGGAAAGTAAATAATACACTGATGTTAGTAAGCATTATTTTGTAAAAGCCCAGCAACATTTGACACATTTCAAAAACAAAAGTGAAACTAACAGTAGGTTTTCCATAAAGCTTCTGGCTAGCTTCTCAACTGAGGAGCATCAACACACCTTCACTGATTTTTGGGTGATCTGGTGCCATATTTCAAGATATTGCTGAGTATAGACACAAAATCAAAAGGTGTCAATTAATACAACACTTCAGCTATCATGAAATACTCACTCTGCAAACAGTCAGCATTTAGGAGATCTTGGCACTTCTCATGGCATTTGACACCACATTCAGTGCATCTCATGCCTTGTCTGGCTATGCCCCAAAGAAGGCCTTCACATTCATAACAGTATGTGGGAGTTGTAGCTGTCCAGATTTCAAAGTTATGAGGTGTAGTTGATGATATTGGATAGATCAAAGCCTGCAGGGTCTTCTTGAAGACATGTATTTTCTGTTGGGTAAGAAAAAGAATATTTCAGGTGTATTGTGTAACACAAGTGAACTGTTTCTAAACTATATGCCATCTGCACCTAAAATGTTATAAAATATCGGAATATACATAGAAGTATAAAGTAATTTGTAAAATACTGATTTACTCATTTTGCTTTACACTTTGAAAAGAATTCTGCTTGACTGTTTTGTCTGATTACACAAACAGCAGAGTTAAGTTGGAATAAAATTATTCAATTAACACAAAGTCTTATATATTTTTTTTCATATTTTGAGGCAGAAACAACAAGAAAGCAGCATTACATTCATTGGGGCATATTAAGCAGCTACCTAATATTAATTCTGAATATTTAAATACTTCCTATAGGGACTCAGACAGACGTACTACACAAAATGCCTTTTGATTATATACAACACTATCCTCTAACACCAAGTGTATATATAACCTCATCAAATAAAAGCAAGCCAATTGTAGGGCTCCATTTTATCTGTATTTCTATAATAGCATACTTACTATATTTTTAAGCATCAAGTTGCTTTTTACTATAGACAAGAATGATCCATACTCTCAAAAATCCAAACCCATTTCTTGGACTGCTTAAGAACCACGACTAGTTCTACTACAAGAACTTTTATTGGCTATTTACTGATTAGTACTGTAACAACTTCAGTCTCAGCTCCTTAGTGCTTAATAAGATAAAAATAAAGCAGTTGTTTGTGCAAAGTACTGTGGCACACAAGACCTTGGCTTATATGGGCACAACACTCTGGTTTATTTGAGCTTTTTTTCAGGCACCCTGATCTTCTAGGTCCAGGCAATTTATTGGGAATAAGAGCACAGTAGCCTGAAGGCAGCACTTGGCACCAAGCTTAGGTTGTTTGTGTCTTTTTTAGGGAGTGGGTGTTCACTAAATGCACATGTGACTGCTATGAATGTATTAGAAGTTCTAGATTCGTTCCCTTATAAAGAAATAATTGTTTCTTTTAGAAAGAAGAAACCATATTATAAAACATATCAACATATTATTTTATAATAAAATAATAATCATATCACCAGAATGGCACCATATGTCTTATTTTAGAAAGAAGAAACCATATTATAAAACATATCACAGTGGAATATTTCTGAAAGTCTGTCTGTCCTAACTTGTTCTCTTCTGTTGTGGATATTAAGAAAGGTAGCTCTAATGCTGGCTATAAAGCTGTAGCAAGTGAAAAAGATTTTGGAATTTGTGTAGTTTGTCTATTTTTGTTTTAACATCAATGCCACAGTTCTGACAACACAGGAAATAAGCCAAACTTATTCAGTTAAACATTTGTTAACACTCCCTTATCTTTCATATTCAGCTATGGTAATTGTATGCCAAATGGAAGATATTAACCTGTCTAAAAATATGCTGACATATTCTTGGTTTTATGTACTTGCATCTCTACTCAAACTTGTGAGAGATTCTGCTAGTAATAGATTGTCTAACCAAAGTAAAATATTCTTTTTGTGTGCATATCTGCATAATGTTGCACAAAGTCATCAATCAGAGGACTTCTGCTACCATGGGAAAACCAGTACCATGCAGCCATTGGGTAGCCATTGATTCATAGGATTAAGCACTAAAAATAATAAGACCAAATGTACGGTAGCTTAGGCTGCAACAGCCCTTACTGAAGTCAGTAGTTACTGCTGGAAACAGTATCTATCCCCTGGAACCTGGCCAAATATATATGGTTAGACATTTAATGGACATCTGATCTGAGCACAACTGAGAACACTGAAGAACTGAACAAAGAAAAAAACCTGATAGAGCAGGAAACACTAAAACAAATACTGAACTGCCCTCCAAATTGCTTCTTAGCCTATCCTAATAACTCCCCTGAAAGCAAGCAAAGGTGTGCACCAGTTTGATTTGGCAGACCCTAAGAACTGTGATAGTAATGGAGAACTCATTGTTGTACATTACTCCACTTTTGCCTTCTGTTTTACAGGGACCAGAAAGGAAACTTTAAAGCAACCTAAAGTGAATTTATACAGCTTGCTGCGAAATCATGTCTCTCATAAACCACTGATTGCACTTTCCGACTCCTGAGCTCATGTAGCCTCAGTACAAATCCTGCCCTTTCACCCTGTTCAGCTTCAATATTTTCCACATTATACATTTGCCAGTAACTTTCACATTTTTATGAAATGTCAATAAGTAATGAAATTTACCCTCAGCAGGCCTTGAAATATACATTTGAGGGTAAATGAAGTTTCCAGCTGAAAGACACTTTGTAGATTGGTTTTGCTCCTGAACTTGTTCTTTCCCCTGTTGTTAATAAAGCAAATTGCAAACAAGAATTTTATTTCTCTTACTGTCTAGAGGCTTTCGCCCCTATTACTCTTCTCTGTTTAAATGTTTTTGCTATTTGAATTACAGAGCATAACAACATGGCACTAATAACTTCCAGTATAACTATATAACTAATAACTGGTTTGGCAACATTTAGCACACTACTAATATGTAGGAGAATTATTTAGTTATCTGCTTATCCTTTTAAAGGAAATTTACTTCTGCTGTATACTACCTGAAATACTTGTCAATGTCATTGATGTATAATTTCCAAAAACGTGCAGCTCTGTCTTTGTTCAACAAAGCAATTACATGGGTACTCAACTGAAAGAATATATCTAAGTATTACACTGATTAAAATGTCTTTGGATCTGTGCTTGAGAACACAAACTCAGTGTGTAATGAGTGTGTTGTACCAAAAGGATAGCAGTGACAGGTGGCAAAGCTCAAAGCCTTAACCTCAGGGTGCAATTTTTTGAGTAGGTGGCACTTGAGTTTTAATAAAGGCATTAGTTCAAAGATTTTTCATACTGAATTTAATCAGCCAAATAACCCACACCCACCAGAGTCCCTAATATTCCCTCCAGAAAAAAACTTGGGGGAGGGTAAAAACTAGAAAAGCCCTAATTGGAGGAATAACTTGCCCAAAGGGAATGTTTCTTCCTTAAATTTCATTGGTAACTCCATTTCTTCATTTCACATCTTCATTTTTTGGAGAGTATCTGGAGAATTCTTTTATGTCTGAAAATGTCTGTCCTTTTTGTTTTCAAATCTTGCTCTACCCAGTGTAATGATGCCCTAGGTTATTAAGTTTGGCTGGCTACTTAGAGATGTAGGAAAGTAATGCCTTTCCCTTGTTTTAAATATCTTACAAGAGGCTTTGTTGGCTGTACCCTTACATTTGTCTGTGAAAGAGCACTCCTTAGCCCTTGGTTTGTGGCATGAGGGCTGGCTTTTGTTCACCTCTACTCTGAATTAGCTTTTTATATTTTCTCATCAAATGAACTTTCATGTGTCTAAATTACATTTGCTGTCTACCTTTGGACTTTTATTTCAAGCCTTTTTAAGAAATAACTATTTCTGGTACACAGTTTTTTCATATGGCATGGTTCAAATGGAGTCCAAAGATTATAAAGGCATAAAAATATACTTAAATGAATTTTCCTTTTCTCCTGAATCAGAATTCAGTAATTTCTCTGGTTGATGGCAAGCGTTGGAGACTTGTTTCCACTTTAGGGATTTGCTGCCTTTTTTTTTTTTTTTATATTATCTCCCAAACTTGCAACTTCAACCCTTCAGTCAGAGTGTGCTAGTTTTTACAGAAGAGGAGGTGTGTAAATAAACAAATGAATCTGTCTTTTTTGTCATGAAAGGTGGTAATACTTATACATATAATGCTTTTTGTTCAGTAAACATATTTTAGTAAAGTACATGGAGTATTTTAGGGTCTTTTACTGAACTCAGCTATTTTAGTACAAATTACAACGAAGTTGAAAAAAGTCTTTATTTTGTAGCACTTGGATGCCATAAGTTTTTCCTCTATGATTTTCCATCAGCCTTGAACTCCTTAAGATCCCATAGTTCTCCAGTCTATCAACCTTTGTTGCTGTTTTGAGATAGCAGAATAACAGGTAAGAATAACAGATGTCAATATTTGTGTTACATGTTCCAGTTCCCAGAACACCTGTCAGTATTTTCTGTTCTCCCATTCTTCTGCTATGGACCTTAATAACAATGTAAGAAAAATTCAGCTCTTCATTTTTCTTCAGAATAGGATGTATTTTAGAAGGCTGTGTATGCACTAACAATTTGAGGAACACAAAACGGGTCTGTATTTATTCAAATTCTTCCTTTTGCTTGGTTAAGTTATATAAATCCTACATCACACTTTAGGTATTCCTGAAGAAAATGGCACCTGTTGTGTTTTTGTTGAAAAAAATGTCTTTTGCCAAATCTAAGTGAAATCACTAATGGAAAACCAGAGGTCATGCATTTTACTACCTATGATTCTATGTTTTTTCAAAAGACTCTTGTGGTTACTTGTATGAATTAAATATTTCTTCTAAAATCACATATGTTATTAGCATGAGTTACATTAAAAAAAAATCAAATAGTATCCCAAGGACTTGGAAAAAATCATCATAAAAACCCATTTTGCAGAGCCCTGGCATTTTAATTGCACTCACATTGTGATGAAGATAGAAAGATGATGAAAGACTGCAGGTAAACATGGTACAGGTGAACAATTTAAAGCAAAAGGCTTCTCCAAATAACTGTTTTGTAAATCAAAGGTTTCTTGGTTAGTCCCCTCTGTCACAAATGTGAGTCAGCAGCAGCAAACCTGGTCTTAATGCTGTGCATCAGGCAGCAAATTCTGCTCAAGTTCCCAGGAAGTTCCTACACAATAAATACATTCCTTTTCATCCAGTTTGGTGTGTGTAAGGCTGAAATATTTTTTAGAGATCTCTGAACAAAAGTTTCTGTTACCTAAACATCTTAAACTTGTCACTGAAAACACTTACCATTTCATCAGTGTTTATGGAGGTCCGCATGAGCATGGCCATGGAAATACCAGATTTTCGAGCTGCAAGGGTCTGTTTAAGGCAAAGGCAAAAGTGTTAGCAATTATACAAGTAATAGCAGCTGTTGAAGCCAATGGAAGGCAAATAGTACTTGATTATACTACTGGATATAAACAAAACTGTAGAAGACACAAAACCTTTTAGTTAATGTTTGTAGCTCACAATTTTTAGGGTTTCAGTACATAACAGAAGTATACTTCCCATCATCATTACTGCTTCTTTCAGCAGTGCCCAGCTGAACTGCCATTTCTAATACAAAACCTGTTATTCAGAGGTTTGTGACTCAGTTTTTTAAAATCACAGGCTGTCACTGTTTTTCTGCTTTGCCAACCAAATTAATGTGGTACAAGGATAGGCATCCTGCCCTAATTTGGAAGCTGTCTGTGCCTGCAGCAACATGGGAGATCATTTTGCAGTAGTCTTATGGTTCAAGTTGTCAGTCTGGATAATTTTTTGTAACTCACTGAGCATTTTTAAACAGCATGTATATATATATATAAAATACTACTTAAATAAAAAGACCTCAAGAAACCTTAAAATATTATTTTCTTAAAGACAATAATACTTCAATACTATGGATAGCTATATGGAGAAATACTCTGGTTATCTGAGACAAGAAAAGAAACCAGAACTCTGTGTCAATCTGTCCTCATTTGGACACGATGCTATTGGTATATGGACAACTTCTGGTTCTGAAGACAATGCACTTAGTTGTAGAGATTAACTCTTTTGTACCATATGTATGGTACATATACAGGGACAGAAAAGAAAGTAATTTTAATATACAATAAAAAAGGAAATTTTATACTTCTTATTGCAACCGCAGAAATCTAAATGGGTCCTTGAGAATTATCTAGAGAATATAATGATCAGAAAGAACCCTGGGGGACTGAATTCTGTGTATTTTACACACAATATTTTAAATCTAAGTATCACTTCTGCTATCAATAATCCTTTTGGCCTGACAGAAACAGATAAGATTTATTCCACTGCACTCAGTATCAACCATAACACTGTTATATTAGTGGACTGCACCTGGAGTGCTGTTTTCATTCCTCCTTTCCCTTATTCTAAATCATTCCAAGTGTGTTTGTACACTTTTGCCTTATCTCTGTTCTTCTGTCATCCACTATCTGCTTTGTCACACTTTGCTGCCCTCACAGTCTAGCAGTATGTGGATCAATTATACCACCCACTAACCTAAGTCTGTTGTTGCCTTTGTTGTGAGGATACAGATTTTCACCTAACTTTGAAGGGGGTGTCTGAAGTCCATAATTACAGAAATATTACAGCAAAACTTCAAATGATACTTTGTATGTGACATTCTTATTTTTGTGAAATGCATACTGGGCCAGAAGCAATTTAGGCTTACATCAGCAAAGGAACTGCATCATTAGTCTCTGGATGAAGAGACAATTCCAATTTTTTCCAATTATATAATTTTAAACACTGGTATATTTAAAATGGATTTCTAGTTATTTATTTATAGGATTGCTCAATTTTAATTTTAAATGTTCACTTTCCTTAATTCAATTTTCAGAAAGTTTCTCTTGATAATAATTAAACTTGCAGACTGACACAGAATTATTCATCTTGTGAAACCAATTATAGGGTAAGAAATCATCCTTGGCTTAGTAGTATTCAGTTCATCTCCTATTACAAAGAACTTTCCCTTTTTTTTCTCTTTTAAACTCAGCAATTTACAAACTCTATGCCACTGATTTGCTATCAGATTCTCCATTCTCTTATTATTAAGTAAATCTGTTTACTTCTCTGTGACCATCCTTTCATTCTATTTCTGTGAATGTAGGAAATTCCATGGGCGTGTGCCAGTGAGATTGACAGTCACAAGAAAGATTAAACAGTGTTCAGGCTTTTTTTTTTCACTTTTTGTGTCAAACACAACACTACAAGACCCACATATCAAAGTTAAAAATGGCAAGTAAAAATGTTTTTGGATCATTAAGAGGAAAAGAAACAATTTTCCTAGTAAGTTTCCATAAGTTTTGGGTTTTACAATGATGTACTTTAAAAGCATCAACTTTTTGATCCCTCTTGAAGCACAGGTTTTTGCTCAAACTCTTGCTAAGTATTGCTGTAGATTTACTTGCCTGCACTATTCCTGTTTTATGGCTTTTTCATGTCCCTTACAGTTAGAAAGAGATTTGACCCTCCTAGGTGTCAATTGCACGATCCTAGCCATTCCAAACAATAGAGCAATGTGAATGACTTGTCAGGACAGGAGCACAAAGGGCAGAAGAACATTAACCTCAAATATAGGGCAATGAGTGCTGCTGTGTTCTGTCCTCCAGCAATACCAAAGAACATGAGCCAGCAGAACTGCAGCTCCATGCTACCCCTGTAAGTCAACAAACAGATACTACTTCCTATCACAAAAAAATGGGGAAGCAATTTTGACCCTGTCATGTGTCCTTCAAGCCCAGTTCTCCCAAGAGGTGCCCTTGGAATAATGGAGATTTACTATTTTCTTCTTAATCAGAAATGTGTCTAAAATTATAGCACAGTGCCCTATATAAAATAATAAACCTAACAGGAAACAGATAATTAGGTTGTTCTCAATAAAGTGTCTGTCATGTTGGAAGAAAGTGATATCTAGAGGAATTTGTGATAAACTAGTAAATTTAAAAGTCATATGGATTAAATTTACAGGGATTTTAGTGAAAAAATCCCCACAACAATTATTTCCACTTATGTATTACTGTCAGAACTAATTACATCTACAAGAGAAAGCCCATAAATGCTTCTGTTCTAAAACAGAAAGTTGATGATAATTCAATAGCATGAAGCACTGAACACATAGCGGTGTCATTTCTTAAGTATGCAATGAAACAAGGAGGAGTGAGCATTTTGGAAAGAGAAAGGGGAAAAAGCTGCCAGATTTATCTATGGGAAACAAGGTGACAGGTTATGAATATAATGAGAAAACTTCTTCCCTTATTGCATCTCTGTTTTCAAGCAGCAGCAAGAAAGAAAAGTAAGTGCAGCTCAGTAGCTGGAACTTCAAGCAAGTCCAAAATGTCAGAGCATCAAAAGAATAGGGAGAGCAACAGGAACCTGCAGTGTTTCACCCCTCTTCCTTAACAGGACACAGAACTTGTCAGCAGTTTATATTTGTTTAGCCTCTCAAAGTGATATCCAGATACTACCTCATGTCTTTCCTTAGGTAAAAAATTGACCTGCAGAGCATAAGGACTTTAAGTATTGTTGAATTATGAACATATGAAAAAAATTATCAAAACCAAAAATCCTAGCAAAACCCCCAAACAATAAGAGAAGGTGATAATGGAAACCATTGTCTATTTAATTTTTAATTTGTCTTGAAACTCCCTAGTACAGGATTTAAAATAAATTACTCTCCTTCATGCTCAAGGCCTTCTAGATTACCTAATAACTTGTGTCAACACTGTCTAATCTATTACCTCCAAATTTGCATTAGCAGCTTAAATAAATAAATTAATTAGAAGTTGTTCTAGCAAAAACATTGAAAAATGGTAACTGTAAGTAAAAGCAAATTGGATTCAAGCTACAATTACATGTTAAATGATCAATTGCGTTGAGGAAAAAAAAAGAGAAGTCCTCTATCACAATGAAATAGGCAAGCTGTGTCTTGCACAGCTAAAATAGCACAGAGAAGGCAACAGGCTCATGTAACTGTTCATGACTGCTGGCTGTGCCATGCAGTACTCATTCCTGTGGTTTTACATAGGGTTTCAGTTTTCTTGATCATCTTTTCTTTTTTTCTTTTAAAAATATCTACACACATGCTATTAGCAGGAAAAAAAGTTGAAGATAAATCATTTTTCAGCACTTTAAAAATGCTGATATTATTTTTAATGTGATGTAAAAGTTACCCACTAGAGATGAATATGACAAAAATTTCACTGTTTGCAGCATTTAAAACACGCACGATTTCGGAACTTTTTTTTTTTAGCAACTACATGTATATCACTCTAGTGATCTCAACTTCATTATTTTGGAAGACAGATTTGTACTGTTTCTTGGAGTTGGGGGTGGAGGAGGGTGGGAAGGAAGACAAAATAACTTGAGAGGAAGTAAGGTACTGAGGGAAATTACTTAGCCATGTCCCACCATTTTTCTATTAAAAAGGATGTCTAATACTGAAATAAATAGTCCAGGTATTTAGCTGACAACATACAAAACCAGAGAATATGACACTGCAATTTAAAGTAGTATCTACTTTATATGAATATTTAAATTACCATATTTGAATTCCAGCCTCTATAAATCTTTTTATTGTGAAGACACTTAATGAAAAAATGTTTAGTGTACTATAATTTAAGCTGAAACAGGCAGTTGTTTCATCTGGTGTGTTCACTTCAACAGACTGCTTTACAACAGCAGCAAAGATTTACAAATTGCTCTTGTGTTCTTATAATCAAATAATAAAGCTAGGGAGCAATACAGTCTTGATTGATCAAAAGAAGAAACTGGCCTGATTACAGTGATTACACTGTAAAATTGCTTTCAAATTGAATAAACAGAAGAATTTTCTAGAGTCTTCATAACATTCAAAATGATGACTGGTATTAACAGAAGCAAAGGCAGTAAAATAGAGCTACCTTTGGCTGTGGCTGAGCAGATCACCACACATATTCGGCCACTGTGAAATAAAAACTTCTAACCTCCACTGTAATTATTGATATTTCTCTCCCTGGCTATTCTCACCTCAACCCAAGCTCTAACTAACCCAAAAGAGAATGCCTTTTTTTAAAAACAGAAGTTACCGCAATTCCATCAGCAAGTGCACTGGACTGCTTTTCCTGGCTCTACAGCAAACAGATCTGTTCATGCTCTCTATATTGTTACTGCACTTGAACCTTCACTTCTCCTTGCACACTCTCTCTCTCCTGTACCAGATATATTCTACTAGAAGTCTAACGACCCATGACAGCAGCAAACAGAACTGTTCCTGCAGGTGGATTTCGACTGCCTTATCCTCTCTAATGATCAAAAATGAGAGACCCAACGCATTGGCATACAAAAAGTTTTCAGTGCTTTAGGAGGAGGAGAGCATCCAAATTGAGGGCAGTGAAAGTGGTGAAGGGTCTGGAGGTGAAGCCATGTGAGGAGCAGCTGAGGCCACTGGGTCTGCTCAGCCTGGAGGAGACTGAGAGCAGACCTCACTGCAGGTACAGCTTCCTCCTGACGAGAAGAGGAGGGGCAGGCACTGATCTCTGATCCCTGGTGACAGTGACAGGACACAAGGGAATGAATGGCCTGAAGTTGTGTCGGGGGGGTGGTTTAGGTTTAGCATTAGGGAAAGGCTCTTCCTCCAGAGCTAGCTGGGCACCAGAACAGCTCTCCAGGACAGTGGTCACTGCACCAGCCTAACAAAGTTCCAGGATTGTTTGGACTCCCAGGCACAGGGTGTAACTCTTGGGAATGGTCCCATGCAGGGCCAGGAGTTGGACTTGACGACCCTTGTGGATCTCTTTCACCTCAACATATTCTATGCTTCTGTGTTGAAAATTGGATTTTTCAAAATGTGAATTAATAAAAACAAATGGGAGTTAGAGATATCATCTTAAGAAAACATACAGAATTTTGATAAACATTGTATTGAGATACAATGCTGAAAGCATGAAAATAATGGAGTGAAACTGGAAGTGCAGAAGGACTAGGAAAATAGGGAAAAATAAAACTGATTGATACAAGAGAATTAAAAAGCAGGGAACACTTTGAACTTCACTTGCTCTAGGTGTCTAAGACTTTCTAATACCACAGGGGAAGCATCACACTTGAAACCTAAACTTTGTGCTTGTATCATCAGAAAAGATACTTGGAATATACTGAAAACTTTTTAACATAAACTTCTTCCAGAAATTTTGGTATACACGATGCAGAGTAGAATACATTCACATAAGGTACCACTTTCCTTATGATTAAATTCTTGGTCATAAAATAATTTTTTACCTTTCCAATAGAAGGTCATAATAAAACATGGCATTAATGGAATCCGTAACAGTTACTACGATAATTTCAAAACATTTATAAACATAAAAGTACTTACCATAGCCTTAAAAATCCAGAAAAGATAGGAAAGAAATTATAGAGAATATTAATTTGCCAGATTCATTTCACAAGAAAATAAATTATATTTATTTTAGTCAGCATCAAATGAGTCTAGCACTCATTTTAACAATATTATTTCTGTTTTTCTGAAAGAGTCATAAATAAGCATAAGAAAGGATAATTTACATTTGTTTTGATGTCTTAATGTATTCTGAGCTATACCTTTGTGTAAGCACTTACAACAATTAAGGACAAAGCAGAGTTCCATTTAACAAGCATTAAAGGGTCATAGCAGGACAATAGACTATACTCGTTTAATAGAACTAATAGTGGAGTGGCTGCTGTCAAAAAGATGGTTTAAATGAATGCAGGCTCTACTATGTTGTGCAGTGTAAGTTTTCATCAATTTCAGAAGGAATTCCACTCCAAAGTGGTTGCTGTGCTTTCTCTTTTTGACTGATCAGACAGTGTAGTGGATCACCACAGAGTAACTGAACACAGAAACTGAAAAAACATTGAGCAATAATAGACAAAGGCTGATCTTCTACCTACAGCAATAGTAATAATTTACTTAGCCTAACACACTACCACTTCTTTATACTGAGAAATCGATTTGGGGGCTCACCATCAGAGACTAAATATGCATTTTATTGAATTATGAATTTTATACTACAGGAAAAGAAAAAGAGAAATGTGAATATCACTTGAAATTCTTTGGGACAGAGAGATTCTTAACCTTGTTTAAAACTGGAAGTCAGAATAAATCTCAAAGGAACTGCCATTTTTTTCCACTGAAATTTCTTTTCTTAAATTATTCTTGTTTACAATGACGGTTAAAAAACCTTGTACCTAAAGCATGCATAAATCTTTAAGATATTAATAGTGAAAAGGGCTGCTTTTTAAAAGGAACTTCCTCTCTCTTTCAGTATCAACATATATCAAGTGAAACAGTATCTTAAACATTCAATAGCATCTTTGTGAAAATGAATAGCTTTTTATTGCATGAAATGCACGTTACTTGATTACACCTGCAATAGCTAAATATCCAATGAGACATTCAGACTTATCTAGTACATTATAGCAACTGCCTCATTGACTTTTACTGCCCTCAATCCATTCTCTCAAGACTCCTTTTTTCCATAAAACAATTGTTGCAAACTGTCATTCAGATGCACATTAGTAATTACAAGAAAGACCTGCACAACTGGCAAATGAATCAACAGTTTCAGAAGTTACTCACCACATCTCGAACAATGGGAAAAGATTTCTTTCTTCGCAGGTCTGGCATGCTGTCAATTCCATACAGTCCACGACTGTAAGATAAAAAGGCAAAGAAGAAAATAAGAACATGGGGTTTACAAGACTACATCCTTAAGAAGTGCCTATAGTATTGCTATTTGCAATTAAAAATCAAAATCAGCAGTTATCAGCCAAAGGCATGCGCTCCAATTGAAAAACCAGTCTGAGTGCTCTTGGTGCTTTTTCCTCTAATATTCACCCAAAGAAGAGTAGCTAAAAGGTTGCTTAATACCTCCTAAAACCTTTTACCATTGATTTAGAAATTATAAGAAAAGCTTTCCATCGTAAGTTCTTGTGTATCTGGTAGTTGAGATGCAGCCTAACATTACATATTAAACATCAATGATGTCAATGAATATTGTTGGATTAAATTTGATACAAAGTTTAAAATATCTAGCTAAATACATAATCACATCTCAAATAACTCCACACAACCGTGGGAAACAGAACTTGTCACATTTTAAAATAAATCCATGGTGACCATCATTATTTTTTCTTGCCTGGTTTGAGCTTTTGCATTGAGCACACAATTAAACTCCAGTTAGATCTTGCATATAACTTGGAAACAACAACAAAGAGCAACTTGGAGTCATTTCAAAGAATAAAAGGCTTACACACCGACAATTTAAAAGAATACATATTGATCTGGATAACAAATTGGCCTCATTCTCTCCGACTCTTCCAAACAATTAACACAGGTATTTTCCTGAACTTTTTCCACAGAGGGTTTTGGAAAGATCTCTATAAACCTTGTCAGTTCTAATTCAGAGATACTTGGAAATTCTCAGAGAAGTTGGGATATCAGATTTTTCATGACCAAACATTTTCCTCTGCATGGTCCTTTGTTTAGTACTGCCTCAAATACCCTTTTCAGTTCTTATATTTCTCTCTCTGTGTATAATAAAATCTACATTCACTACAAAGACTTTATCATCTGAAAGCCCTAAGTTTATTTCCACCTGTTACAATTATTATGTGAAAAGATTTAACTACAATTAGTGAAGAATTTTTCAGTTCCTTCTGATGCACTCACACTATTCTCTAAGAAAGGGAAAAGAATTCATAGTCTGTTTATGCAATTCCTTTATATTTTCACACAGCCATTTCTCTGTGCCGTGTTGTGATACTAGCATTTTTTTCAACAACATAAAGATCAAAGTAGACCCAAATTGCAGCTTCCAGACATACTTACAAACCCAGCAAAAGTGTGATAGAAATAAAATAACATTTCTGAGATTGTGAAAAGTAAATGTACAGAGATCAAGAAATAAAATCAGGGAATTTTGCTACTCAGAAGCAGTTCCATCAGCAGTAAATAAAAACTTATTGTGTATAAGGTATTCTTATGCTCACATAAAGGCAATATCTGTAAAAGGATTTCCATCTGTTATTCTGCTCTGTAACATAAACATGTGACTAAAATAGAGGTACTTACTAAACTCCTTTTAGTCATCATTAAGAAATAACATAGCAAGGAAAAAAATTTCATGTTAATATTGGTTATACATTCTCTACTCCTCTCCCTACTTCCAATTATAACCCAACAATAAGGTGACATAGAAGATGATGAAGTGGAATAATAATAATTTGATAAAAGTTACCATTAAAGTCAAGGAAAAAAAACCTGTCATATTGGCTATTTTTTGGTGCTTCTGGAAATATTCTGTCCAACAGTAACCTATCTGAATTTGTCAGAGAATTCAAGAAAAATAAGTTTGTTTTACCATAGAGAAGATCCACTGAAGGAAAGGAGTAATCATCTGCATGCAGCACCATCTGTCTATCGTTAGCAAATTTCAGAATGGATTAGACCATGTGGTAAAATTATCAGTCTCTGACTCCTCATTAGGAAGCAGTAAATTAATACAAGAGCAAGTCTCTGGAAACAGTACTACCCAGGATCCATATACATGATGAGAACTCCAGCAGACCTACTTTCACTTTTTAGAAATATGGAAATAAGGAGCTCTAAAGTGCCTCATCTTCAAAAAAGGGAAGAAAAATAAAACAAAGATGTTATTACGTGATACTGGTATGGAAAAACCAGGAAAGGTGGTGCTTCTGCCTTTTAACAGAGAAGTTGCATGAGAAGCCCCAGAAATGCTGGTTTTGGTCTTTGCCTTTACTTTCTTGTCTTGGGCTGTTTTCTCATTTCATGCAAGCAAGTGAAGATCATTGCAGAGAATAGAGAGTTGCAGTCCCTGTCATGGACTTGGGGGTGCTGGTGCATGAGGTGGGGCCACAGCATTGTGCTATGACAGAGAGGGAAGAGCAAGGCAGTAGAGAGTCAGCTGGGGTATTTTTGCATGGATAAAGCATGGTAACAATGGTTGTGAGGGAAGCAATCTCCTCCCTCATTTCAAATAGCAACACCTTTTGGAGAAAGTAAGAGGGAGAAGGAGTCATAGATAATTGCAGCCAGTTGTGCTGGTAGTAAAAAGACTGAGGGATCCTAGAAATTAGCATTAGTTTTTGCAGGAACTAGTAGAGTGGGAAGTGTGATTAAAACAGAGGCACAAATGTATTTGAAATTACAGCATTCTTTGCTTGACTGAGAAGTTAAATGAAAATTACAAAATTGTTTTTAAGGAGGCCTAGTGAAACAGGGGCTTGAATAAAGATACTGTGGACAGGAAAGCAAGGCAAAGACAGGTCTAAACTTGTCAGCAAAAGAAGTAAGGTTTCATCTAAAAACATGAGCTATTATTGAGCTACTGTAAGCCATTTGAGGTAGTCCTATGCAGTGGTTACAGGATGTCTACACAAGGGTCTGACACAGCTTATTCTCAGAACATTCAATATTTGAATGAATTCACCTGTGAATGGAAGAGAGGGCATAAAAAGAGCAGCTTCAGTCTGTATAGCCCTTGTCAGTTCTCCTTACACCTATGAGATTGCTTTTTGTGTGAAACCCTCAAAAAATTAGTAATTCCACATTACCTTTTAAAGGTCTACATCTATTAAGAAACTGTAATTAAGCAACTGGTTAGGAATAGTACATACAGCAAAACAGTACGGTCACATGCAGCTTCCTACAGGCACAGATACAATACTTGAGTGTCAGAACCTGCATTCAGAGTCTGCTTACAAAATTCTGTGCTAAACTATGCAATAATCAGGCGTTAAAGTGTTTCTCCTCTGTTTTGCATTTGGTGACTAATCCTGCACCATGTCACACGCGTCCTCACACTCTTACAGCAACTCTGAAGGTTCTAGGAGTTGCAAAGGGCAGGAGTACAATACTTGGAGGTATGACAAGCTATATGGAAACTACCTACACCACTAAAGAGCTGTAGATCACTTATAAATTTGTTTAGCAATAAGCACAGATGTTACCCTAAGTATACCTTCCATAAAAGCATGCTCATAAGATTAAGCAAATTAATGCCATAACTACTTTTTAGTGACACCCACCTCCTCTCAAAATAGGAATCTAACCTGGAAAAACTTCATAGTGTCAACTGAATAGCATTTCAGATATAAAAGATGAAGATGAATGATTAATTTAATCTCATCATCTTGTCTTTGTAATAAATTTTAATTATAGTAAAAAAAATACTTACAGAATGCACCAGCAAGAGGATAATACCCCTTTTAATTAGATAACTAATATAACTGATACATTTTACCAAAGGCTTTTATTTCTTTACCTTTCTAGATTGAATATAAAAAGTATTCAAAATAGGAAGGAATCCCTTGAACTGGATGCAAGATAACATCATTTGGAGACAACAAAAAGTGTACAAGTTCCCTTGACGTTTTAATTTCAAGTACTAGAGTGATAATATATTGCCAGAACTGCATTACTATACATTTACCAGTTGAAGACAAAATTGTGCTACAACTTCAAAGGATGTTTATTTTATATGCAAAGAGGTAAAATCTCTTATCTAACTGACCCCAGCAAGAGAATTATTGTATTAATTTCTCAAAAAAATAAGGAATTTTGAAAAAATTAAAAGGGGAAAACATACACAATGAAACTATCTTCCTTTTAAAATAATGTAATTTGTTAAAACAGAAAGCTTAGGAAAAAATACTATAATGCTGAAAGAATTAGTTGCAGATACAAAGAAAAAATTTCTCAATTATATTTTTACTTACCCAGCAAATGCTTGGACTGCATAAAGCTTGGAAGCATCCAAGGAACTTGCACTTACCAACCGAGCCTTTAATAGAGATCAAAAAAAAGTACATTTACTTGGTTGCTTTTAGTAAGTTTTGGACAGAATTTAACTGCATCAAACATGTAAGACATATGAAAATGTTTAGCAGGGTCAGCTCCAGGCCAAAGCTAGACTAACTGTTCCTTTGGGAAACATTTTGATAGCTTTCAGCATTTAGTGACACACAGTGGAAGAACCCATGGGAAGGTAAGGTATTGCTTCCCAAATACTGTTGCCCTTTAAATCCTATAATGAATGCAGGGTAGGTGGCAATTAGAGGCAAAAATCAGTTATCATGTTTGACAGTAGCAGACCCCTGTGTTGGCAATTATGGTAAGCACAACAGCGAGGGTTACCCTGTATATAAATGCAATACAATCAAAGGAGAACAAAAGAGTGGAAAGCTGGGAAAAAAAACATGCAGATTTCACAACTAAAATGACAGAACAAAACAGGTCAAATAAGTCACAAACAAACATCAACAAAATACATGATCCCTATAGCAAATAGGTGACGTTAAACCTTTTCATCCACAGAACCGCTATCTGAAAGAGAATTGGGAAGAAGGGGAATATAGGTTAGAAAAACCAATGTCTGAAAACAATCTTATGCTATAAAATTTGCCAGTGTTTTAATCTGTAAATGTAGACCAGAATTCAAATAACACCTGTGCTTAGCTGTATAATTGTGGCGAGATCACTGTCACTGCATTTTAAATAAACAAAAATATGTTCTTGGTAGATCCAAAGCCCTGCCACTTACAGAAGGACTGTATGGAAAGCACATGTTTCACATACTATACCCCATCTCCATGGAATTTTAAATTTTATTGCTTTCTTTAAAATGTATTTTCAATAATAATGAATTTGTATTTAATATAATTGCAGTGTTCAAATAAATAACGCTCTATTTTCAAGAAAAAGGAAAGTCTTTCTAAGGATATTACCATCACAATCCCCATCCCAAGACCTGAACTGTAACTAGTCTATCACAGCTACTCATAAAATGACAGAAATTACTCCCCAAATGTCAACAGAATAACAACTGCGAAAGTTATTTCATACATATGTATCTCATTCTAAATTGCTTAATGCAAGAGCACAACATGAAAATTTACAATCAGACAGAAAATATTTGCTGACAGAAAAAGCTACCTTTATTCTACTGCCTTGTCACATTTGCACTTTATAGTACAGTGCATATGTGAAACAGCACTGTTTTAATTGTCACCTTACTGATCTTCCCACTTCCCCAAAGGGAGCGCTCAAGGACCCTTTAAACATTTTGGATAATCTCAGGTTATGTACATCACAAATTAAGAATTTACACCTTAAACATGTGCCACATTTAATTTTTAAGCCAGTTTATATACAGGAAAAACAAACACATAAATCCAAAATATACTGGCAACTGTAAAGCTATATAGCATACAGTAGTGACAATCAGGGAACTAAAAGGCTTTACTCTGCCACTAATTTTACAGGCAGCTTACATGATCAAAGCATTTATGAGAAGAGCTTACTCTTTAAATATTCTATTTTTAAAAAATTATTTGTGAAATGTATTAGACTCAACACCAGATAGTATTGGCTACTCTTTCAAGCATATAAAGAATATTCAGACAACCATAAGATCTAACTTTCCCATTCCAAAATGATTACAACACTTCACAAGCAAGGTGAGAGTAGAACCAGGAGGAAGTAGGTGACTGAAAGCTGGGCTGCCCATGGAAACCGGATGGGGTGTGCTTTTCAGAGGCCTAAAGAAAAGATGAGTTAAACCTAGAGGGCTGGAGGAGCATGTGGACATTAATGAGAGGAAAAGCATGACACTATGTAGCAACAAGATAAGAGAGACAGAGATTCCATTCTCAAACTTGTAGAAGAGTCTAAAAGGCAAAGAAAAATCTGGGGACTGAGGGAAGTTTTAAGCAAGACACTACTTGCAATTTAAGAAGCTTCACCACAATATTTTCATGCAACCTGCACCTTCTTTTAGAATATCTCATCATAGCAAAATTGGTAATACTGACATATAAGGTGCAGAACAAATCTCAGTATTATTTATGTGGAATGCAATTCTTAAACAGTTTGCAGATACTTTGCTATCAGATTCCTAAAGAATCACATGAATTCTTCACTTAATTCACTTTTCTATAACTGTACATTAAAAATTGTTGAGACCTGTCTTCTACATAAAATGTATTTTTTCAGAGCATGAGAGATACATAGGCATATAAAATTTCCTTTACCTCTCTTGGTTTCAGCCAACTGCATCTAATTTCACTACATTTCCTTTACTGGAACCTAATTTTATCTAAATATAGTGAGGAGAGTGACAATCAAAATTAAGAAGGAGGAAAGGTATGTTTTTTGTTTAACTTGCTTTTCTTTGCAGTTGCTACATATAAAGAAAAATATACTCATCTAATAGTCTCTTTTCTCAATAGAAATTACATAAAGCAGACAACTGACGCAAATTTCCCAAAAAAGAGATCTTAAGAACATCTCTTCTTTGTAACAAATGAGTGCATCTTCAGAGACAAAATCAGTTTGAAAACTTCATTGTTTACTGCTTCTTCTGAACTCACCATGAGTGAAATAATCCGAACCGTGGAAGTATTCTCTATGTGCATGAGAGCACCAAATCAGAAGTGTACAGAGTCACCAAGCAATTCCCTTTAGTAGTCGTTAGGCTACCAGAATAGACAGCAGCATTCCTTGATGCAGATAAGAAATGAACTGTGATTATGTAAGAGACCACTAAATGTATTTTCAAATCAGGGATTCAAGGCTAGACATCTCAGATTATACTGCTGAATGACAATGACTTACTTAAAAGAGAGCATTTTCATATAACTTACTTCTGTCACCCACACATTCAAAATACTAACCTAAAAAAGTAATGAGTGCACCTAGGAGAAGTGGAAACACTGGCTCTTATAGCTAACTCTTCTTAGTTTAATTAGTTGTTTCCCCTTACATTTTAATTGAAAATTCATTACATTATGAAATACCAATAATAGCCTTCAGATTGTGCCTTTATACCACAGACCATTTTAAATAAGAGGAAGGTATTTTTTACTAGGATTATAGGAAAAAGTCTTCTGCTCCTTAATTCTTGCAATTTCAGCTCAGTGCAGTCCACACTGATATTTACAAATCTGTGTAGCAGAATGAAGAGCAGGATGGTCATCTATCTGCATACTACTAAAAATTATTTTTACTAATGTCAAATATTGAAGGCAAAAGGAAAATGCTCACAAGCCCTTTTTATTTTTTAAAGCAGTCAATTACATTTAGTTAGATAACTAAACAGGAAATTAGATAAAATTTGTCTTTAAGTTTCCTTTAATAAGTTCCAGGTATCAAAAAGCTATCTAATTCTCAGCATAGCCACTAATCTTGGCTTCTGTTGAAAGTAGTTTACACATGAAGATGGCTGGGGAATGAAGTAAGAGGGGCTCATGATTTTTTCAATACCCTCAAATAAGCCCCCTGGTTATTTTCTAGCTACCTATCAATTTAAATGTAGGCTAAGTAAAATATCCAAGAAATGTTTTTTAATGCTGCATAATTGCTATTCAAACTTGGAATGAAAATTAACAGATCTTAGAAAAGTTTAACTTTACATTTTAATCAACTGTTTTCAGTTTTCAGTCATGGTCCAATTTATTCATTCTCTTAACAATGCTGTCACCTGTAACTTCTCACACAAAACAGAAAGTAATCATACAAGACAACCAGTTTCTATACCCAAATTTCTGAGGAAAAAAACAAATCTATAAAGGATGCTGAAAAGGCAGGGTTTTCCAGCATGAAAGGTGTATTAGCAATGAAGATATGGAAGTCAGGACAGACCTTTGCTTTTGTAGCTTATGACACTATCAGAAATACTGACTCCATCAGTCAGCAGAGGTATTTCTATCAAAGAGGTTCAGGAGATTTTTGCCCCCAGTCATAACCCTCCTTTAAAAGTCTTGCATCATTATTTCACTTCTGCACTTTTCTGAGCAGCAGAACCATGTCCCAGTACACTCCGCTTTCTTTAAGGGCTGCAAAAATTCAGTTCTCTACTCCGTGCCACAGCACAAGAAATGTAACAAGGTTCTAAAAATCTAAACTGTTAGGAAACCCTAGGATCAAGATTAATCAAAACATTGGTTTTCCACTCTTATAAGCATGCATTATTGCACAACACCAAATAGAATTAAAGTTCATTATTCTCTCAAAGTATCCTTTCAATATTTAATTCTGAAAAATGGCTGCAAGAATGTCAAACTGACTGATAATTACGTTGTTCCTGGAAGCAAAGCCTTCAGACAAAATACTTGCTGGAATTAGATAACAATACAGCTGTTCCATGAAAATAACATGTGTAAAGCACCCACAGTCAGAAGTAGTTTCAAGTCTGAGGGACAATTTTAATTAGCAACTGTTGCCAAGAAAGGGAAATAACAGATGAAAACCAGGTTTGAATAGAAGCAGGACATTAAAGAAGCAGATTGGCCAAAACAATGACACAAATTAAGCCATGCTAAAATAATAAATGCTGCACCCAGAAGCTATTATTGCCACTAGAGAACAGAACAATACACTGTGTAAGCCCAGAGGATGTTATATTGCTGAAGCTTATTCTATGGAGATTGTGTATAATGCTTGAAAGATAATATTAAAGCTAGCACATCATAAGAGATGAGTGATGCTTGTCTGACAAAGAGAAGGTCAAACTTGAATAAAGCTTGGTTGACAGGAGAAATAGAAGAATTGCTGCTAGCACTTTACTAGCAGTGATGTAGAAAAATTACTAGTGGATACATGGACAGTCAAAACAGGAGGTCATTTTGGTAAAGATGAAAACTGCATTTGTGTCTCTATTAATAAAGTGATTTGAAAATCTGAAACAAAAGGACATGCTTTAAAAACATCTCTGGTGTTTAGAAATTGAGTCCCATTAGACTTCTAATGGCTTTGTTTTCTATTGTTTTTCAACAGCTAGTAGACACATCTACCAAATTCTAGAATTTACCTCTAAGACAGTAAGTTATAGACTGTCAAGAGAACTGTTTGATTACAGAATGTGGTGAGCTCAAAAATATAACATTCTCTTGAAGACTGGGCTCTCTTGACAACCTCTGGCTTGTTAAGAGTGATGGTAAGAAGTAAAAGCCAGCATGAATTTTAAGCACTCTTCTCACCCCAGAAAGCATGAAAATGATAAGGCATACATTATCAAAAAAGGATGAAAACATATTTTACCTCCCTCAATAAAGGTGATAACAGTACATGCAACCAAGTCATTAATTATTTGCTGTGAAAACAAATAGATAATTGATTATTGCAAATCTTTCTGCATCACAAAGCTAACAATGCCACAAATCACTATATCATGGTCTGAGTTGAATCACTATATCATGGTCTGAACTACAAGCTGAAGTCCAATCAGATTACTTCCAAAGAAATTCAAGAAAATAGCCCCCTGGTTGGAGAACAAATGTGATAGTAGTTCCTCTGGACTCTAACAAACAAAAAACATGTTCCTTGGT